CGTTTTGCAAGGCGACGAAATCGGTGTCCTGTTGTGCAACGCGAAGCCGGCAGTGGCAGAAGATCGCCGTTTCTGCTTCGAAGTCAAGACCAAGAGCCAGACACTGGTTCTCCAAGCCGAGACTCAGAACCAGCTGACCGAGTGGCTCGAAGTCTTCGAGGTGGCCAAGAAGCGAGCTTTCGAAGCCAGTATGGATAGAGATAGCAATCTCTCTCCTGCGGGAGCCGATCCAGCGTTCTCCATCACGCCACCCCCATTGCCCGAGTTCTCTGCGAGGTCTCTGGATGCGTTGGTTGCTGGCGAAGAACCATCCGCCAGTTTCGACAGAGCTGGCACTCTGCCGGTTCCTGGATCCGACAACAACATGGCGGGCCGTGCCAGCTTCGATGTAGGAGGCGCACCGCGTCGTTCCATCACTGCCCTTGGTCGGGACATTGGGCGGGAAATGGTCCGGGAGGATGGTGAGAGCAATCGCGAACATGCTGCGAGGATCATCCAGAAGCTAGATCTTCACCGCAAAGCGACCTTTGGGGCTGGTGCCGAGGCTGCTGTTGCCGCTGCTGCATCCCCAAGCAGTGGTGGCATTGCAGGCATGATAGCCAGCCACGGCCATCTGCCTGGATACCCATCGCCTCCTCAGAGCACGCCCAAGAAACCACCCATTCAAAGACTGGCTTCTTTCGATCCTGCCCAGGGTACTTTGGCTCCACTTACGCTGGCGAGACCACCAGCTGCGACCAATCTAAGTCGGACCGCAGTCATGTTCTCCGTCGACAGGAGCATGGGTGGCGACAACACAAGCCACATGCCCACTGCGGTCCTTGCAAACTACTGGGGAAGCAGTCAATGGAGCACTGTCTACGGCTCGGGTCCTGGGCGACCCCGGACGCCTGGGCAGATGGAGGAAAATCCGTTTGGAATCATCGTTCGAGAAATTGGGAAACCTGGCGAAGAAAAGCCCTCGACGCCTACAACCGGACACAGGAAGACGGTCAGCGTCGACGCCAAGTTCAATCAGCCCCATCCTCAGATCAAACAACCTGTCGAGACGTTCCCCCCGGGCTATCCTCCCGAGTTGAGAATTCAGCACCACCAGTTCCGAATTCTCTTCCCAACCGTCCCTCTCGACGAGAAGTTGGTCCTCGTGTTCCGCGCCGCCTGGTCGAGCTCATCTGGCAAAGACTCGCCATCAAACGGACACGGACTTGCAGGCAACGGCCGCATCTACATCACGCCTGACAACATGTACTTCTACGGCCAGCAGATGGGTCTTGTTGTGGCATACGCCGTCAGTCTCGACATCATTGCTGAAGTTACAGCGGCGCCCGGAAAGGAGTGCGATTTCATCTTCCTCCACCTGGGAGAAGATGGCAACGAGACCGGTTACACTAGAGTCACAATCAAGGTTTTCCTCGACAACCTGCAGCTTCTGCATGCTAGACTGAACCTCCTCATCGACGATCTCCAGTCAGAGGAACCCATGGAGCTGTCAGAGCTCATTACTGCTCTCATCAACCTTGAGTTTGAGGACTATAGCAAGCGAAGCCCAAGCGTTGAGAGCTGGGAAGAAATCTCGTCCAACACCCCGTTTGACGACGGCACCCACTCAGGCCGTCCTCCACGACGCCAGAGTCAATTCGGCCCCAAGCTTCGTATATCAGGCCAAAGCAAGCAGACGCCAAAGCTTCAGTTGCCCGCACATCCTGTCGTCTTCGAGCCCGAAGATATGCAGAGGAAGGTTGCTGAGCGTCACTTTGAAATCAGCGCCAAGGCATGCTTCCATGTGCTGTTTGGAGACAAGAGCTTTGTGTTCCCGAAACTCTATTTTGAGCGTAGAGCGCAGCAGATTGCTCAGGGTCCCTGGACTCTCGCAGACCACGGTCGAATGAGGCGAGAGTTTCAGTTCAAATTCGACTACAAAGACATGCTTGGTCGGCCAAAGACTGTCAACGTCGTCGACCACCAGACGATGGACGTGTTCCAAGACCACGTTACGTACGTTGTCACCCACGTCAAGACGGCATGGCATCTGCCCCACTCGCAGTACTTCAAGTTGGTGACGAAGGTGGTGATTACGCATGTGGCCAAATCCAAGTGCAAGCTCGCGATCTACACAAAGGTGGACTGGTCTAAGATGCCGGCATTTTCGAAGAATCTGGTCGAACGGCAAGCGCTGAATGATGCCGAGGGCGACGCCGAAGAGCTGGCGGATGTGGCAACGGATCAGGTCCGCAAACTGGGCCCTCACAGTCGCACCAAGAGAGCAATCCAAGTTTACGGAAACATTGGGCAGCAGACTCAGGTCGTGCTGTTCTCGCCAGCTGATGCTGACGCAGCGAAGAAGCAGCTTATCAAGCCGCGCACACTGACAGCCATGCTTCTAGAGACGCTCCGCTCCTTTGGAGAGAGCGCGGTCACGTCGCTCATCATGTGGGCGATTGCTGGAGTGCAAAAGTTCTTCAGTGTAGTGACGGCACACCGACTTATCCTTCTTCTACTGGCAGGAAGTACGTTTACGAACGTCTTCCTGACGTCAAAGGACAGTTCAAATTGGTGGATGGAGAGGCGGGCAGCCAAGTTTATGAACCGCGTCGGTGTTGGGCCAAACGTGATGATGAGCAAGGCCATCTACATGGCAGATCTGGGCGAGGCAACGGGTGCAGTAGGCCACAACAGTTCCTGGCCCGCTGATAGTGCATGGTAAGTTTTGTACCTCTGAAATCGACAACAGCCGCTAACTAGTCACAACAGCTTCACCACGTTCCAATTAGTTGCAAACTCCACCGATTTGGACGCTCCGTTCGAAGACGCCGGGTCAACTCTCTCGACAGCAACGAGCCGGGCGACGGCACGCCGACTGCGTCGGACACGTCAACGTCTCGGCTCTTACAGACACGATCTCCTGGTTGCGATGCGCATCGTCAACAGTATAGAGCGGGAGATGGTGCAGTCGGAGTGGGAGAACTGGCTAGCTGATGAAAACGTTCGTTGCGATAAGCTCAAGACGGTGCTCGAAGCAGACAAGTCGACCAAGACCAAACGCAGCGGCGACCAAAAGGTCATGGCGCCGAAGATTGATGAGGGCAAGAGGGAGACGTTGCGGGAGTGGTACGATACATATTGTGGCAGCTGCAAGTTAGATCACGCGGCATTGATGAGCGAGAGAAATTCTTTGGCAGGTCTGTAGATGCATTGCGGTCATGGTTGAAGTGGGTTGATACCTCGAAATACACACAGTCTCTTGTTTCGGTGTCTGTTGGACAGTCGTTCGTTGCTACATATACAAATACACGTTTTAATTTCTCTACTTGCCAGAGCGAGGCGGCCGGATGGCAACGCGAGTCCCCCAAGGAGGTCTGTCCATCATCCGTGATGCCTTCTCTGGAATGGCATATGGGAAGACGAGGCTTACGTTGCGTCAAGTTGACGAGCACGAACCAACTGGCGCGGTCGCGCTTACACCCGTAGAGGCCGATGGAGGCTAGGGTGGCAGATGGCAAGACTAGCAGTTGAGAAAGCTTGTCTCGGATATGTCGGTCACCTCCTTGGACTCGGTACTTTACGATCTATCTCATCATGATGCGATCCCCCGGATCACCCCAAAAGCAGGCTAGGTGGCATCAAGAAAGGGCAGAGTGTGAAACCTCAAGCTGAATATAACCTCACGTGCCTTTGCCAGGGACAATCCGCCTGAACGATTGACTCCCCGACCCAAGCGGACGGGCCCGACGACGTAACTAAAGCAAAGAGCAAAAGCAGGAATGCCACATCCCACGTTCCGCCAGTGCAGTCATGCCGCATGGTGTCCAAGGATAGCAGAAAGGCAGGGCTCTGAGAGGCCAGTCGGTCGGATGACAGGCCTTGGGCGACGTAGATGCCCTCCCTAACGGTGGTGCAGAAGAAGGAGAGTGAGCCGCAGTTGACTTCATCGTTGGAGGCGGCGCCCAATTAACGAAGCCGAGTCCGCGGGTGCAATACGCGGATTGGGCGGGATTTTAGACGATCTAGCGCCATTTCTCCATTTTTCTACGATCCCCTGAGGGCTGGAACTCTTGGGAGGCCCCGCGACCACCAATTGTGACGTCGGGCGGTGCAGGGGTCAACCCCTCTTCCACCCTCTCGGATGCCCTCTTGGGCGGCGCTGTAACATGGGACAAGGGGTGACGTCAGCGCTGGGGGAAGTCAATCGGTGAAAGAGCGTAGGGCAGGCCAGGCAAGACAGACGGGAAAACGGGAAGGAGGACCTACCTACTCGCCGGCCATGGCCACTGATTGGAGTGAAAGTTGCAACAGCCAGGAAACGGGCAGCATCGAGATAAATCGACCGCAGGACAGATGGTGCAACGCCCATCTATCTACCAAGTACGTGACCCGAAAAAGCACAGGGCATGGAGCATTAGGTCCGCTCGGGGTACTGCAGACGTCAAAGCCCCCCGCGAAAATATCCAACCCGTCCACCTTGCTGCGTATCATCCCTTTTACGGCCCTTGAAAACGTCGTGCAGTGTCAGTGTCGTGGTCGTGTGCAGGGAACCGAACGGATCTTCCAAGCCACTGCACCAGCACCGCGCGACTCCCTCGCTCCCGTACTCGCTTCGTCTTTTAAGCCACATGCTTACCTTTGCCTCTCCCTCCCCCGTCTGCATCTTTCTTTGGTCCTGGACGTATCGTCTCCATTTTGCCCAGTAATCAACAGAATTCAAGAAATTAAGCATCGCAGCTACCGTACAGCATCTGCCTTGTTTCTCCGCGAACACTCCACGTCCTCTTGCGGCTACACCTCGGCACCTCGCGGACTCCGACGCAAACCTGCTTCGCATTCCCATTAGCATTTGCGATTCCGCGAAGCATTCCCATCCTCTCCGAAAACCCGTCTACGAAACATTTTTCGGTCTGTTCGGTCGCTCGGTCGCTCGACCAGGGCTATGACATCGACCTCAACCAGCGTTTGATTCGCCTCTCCCACTTTCCCTCCAACGTGTCACCACAACCTCAATCGAAATGGCACCGCATCACGAGCCCTTCAAGGGCCTCGCGCCTGTAAAATGGTCTTCCGTCGAAGAGGAGGATCCCAAAGAATTCCTCGGCGGCGTCTTCTCTGATGCCCAGACGATAGTCGACTCAATCCCCGTCCCCGCCGCCGTCAAGCAGGCCACGACGGGCCGCGCTCGTTCACACACCGATCCGCCTCAGCCTGTCGCCGACATCAACCGCAGCCTTTCCCAGCAGCGCCAGTCCGCCGCCTCCCTCAGCCTGTCGCGTGACCTGGCCAAGGAGTGGAAGGAGGTCAAGGTGAACCCTAGGGACAACCCGCTCGCCATCAACGTCTATAAGCTCGCCTCCAAGGACGGCAAGGGTAGTTGGTTCGCGCGGCGCAGTGTTCACGATGGCCTCACCTTTGAGAAGTGGAAGCTAGGCCTCGAAAAGGAGTTTGCCGAGTCGATGAAGGTTCAGACGGGTCCTGGAGCCGGCGCTATCCGTGGAATTGGCGCGGAGAAACGGGTTGTTCATCAGGTTGTCGAGGGCGCCGGGAAGATGGAAGGTGAGTGAGCTGCAACTGATGTGGCCGTCAAATTCGCTGACCATGATGCTTGCAGTTTTCCAATTGTCGGCGCAGTTCCCGGGTCCGACCGCTCCGAGGGACTTTGTCACTCTGCTCCTGACTTCCGACTTTTCCGGCAACCCTCCCGCACAGGAAGGCGGGAGGCGACCGCTTAGAACCTTCATGATCGTCTCGAAGCCGTGCATACATCCCGAGTGCGCCGAACGGCCGGGCTACATTCGAGGGCAGTACGAGTCGGTGGAGATCATCCGCGAGATCCCTTCCGACAAGCCCTCAATCACCCGTGCAAAGTCATCGATCGATCTGAGCCACGACGGTCCGAAGGAAAGGCAAGCAGTCGCCGAATCCATGGGCAGAGAGGCTGTTCTGCGGGCGGCCAAGAAGGCTGCTGACCCCGAAGGCGGACGACAGCGCGGAACTTCTGTCGACAGTGCACCGGCGAGAGATGACGCCGGGCACAGCGCGGAAGGCATTGACGAGGAAGCTTCAACGACGGTTGAGTGGTTGATGGTAACTCGCAGTGACCCTGGCGGAAACGTGCCCCGGTTCTTGATCGATCGCGGCACGCCTGGTGGTATCATCGGCGATGCAGGCAAGTTTATTAAGTGGATGACCGCCAAGGCTGCAGACGATTTCACGGCGTCAGACACGGAGCAGGAGGAGACAAAGGAGAGTGCCAAGCAAGCCGAGGCTGAAAAAGTCGCATCACCAATGGAGGTCGCTAAGGAGCCCACGTCCAATCTCGTACCAGATCCGTCGGCACAGGATGAGACTGTCCCGCCAAGTAGCAACGGCCTCTATGGTATTATCTCAGGGGCCTTCGGACTGGCAGGGTCTGCAGTGGCAAGTCGGCTCCCTAACGGTCTGCCCGGCATGTTCCAGGCGCCAAGCACCAACGGCTCGATAGCTGAGGAAGACGAGCGCGACGAAGAGACAAACGAGAGCGATACCTCGTCCATCCGCAGCTTCGCGTCGGCCGTTGAGAAGACGGATGAGGGCGAGGCCCTCACGCCTCCGGACGTTACCCACCAAGACACCATGTCTCTGCACTCGTCTGGTTCGGGAGCCAACTCCCTGCACAAGTCGACGACCTCGCATCACGACAGGGAGCTCAAAAAGCTCCAGGAACGCCGGAAGAAGATGCAGGACAAGATCAACAAGATGCAAGAGCGCATGTCTACCAAGCGCGCAGAAGACACGCAACGCGATGCCGCCCAGCAGGCCAAGTTGCGGGAGAAACATGACAAGGAGATTGCCAAACAGGAAGAAAAGTACCGCCGCGAGCTCAAGAGGCTCGAGGAGCGACGGGAGAATGAGGAACGCAAGGCGGAGGAGAGGAGGCGCAAGCAAGCCGAGAAGGAGGAGAAGGGCAACATGGCCATGGAGCTCGAGCGGGTCAAGACAGAGCGTGACCTCGCGCTGAAGCAGATTGAGGTGCTCAAAGGGCAGATTGGAGACCTGCAGAGCCAGAACACCATGCTTGTGGCCAAGATGGGCCGCCTGGGTGGGCTGAAGAGGGAGGATTCGGCGGCGTGGAGCACGTCGGGGGAGAAGTTGACCACCCAGAGTGTCTCGAGCTAGGAGATGCAACACATACGTGAGCCGTGGGGACTGGACACCTCGCATGCCACACAAAAGGGGGACGATACATGACTTTTGTTATTCATACTCACAAGCATCGGGATGGCGTCGGGGCGTCTTAGCCTTCCTTTTTCCAAGCCTCTCCTTTAACTGGAATTTCGAAAACATTGTACACGAAGTCTAAACAAACTTTTGTCTATCAAATCTACATCCAAGTTGTTGGTATATATCTGCTTCTCTCTACAACGTAGCCATCTCCATCAAGAGACCGTGAAGTCGTCCCTTCTCACCCACGGTCTTCAACTCGACCAACTTCTCTCTCAACCCCTCGACCTGCACACCCGTCTTGACAAGCGCCGCAGCACATGTGATGATTCTCGCGCAGACGGCGTACACGTCGGGCACAGAAGCCCAGCCCAGGGGTCCGTCGTCGGTGTGCTCCTCCTTGGCAAGCTTCAGCAGGGCAGCGAGACCCTCCGAGGTCCACTGCGCCAGCTGCTCGTTGTCCGTGCCGCCGGCGACGGTCTCGAAGACGGCTGCCCAGCGGCGCGACTCGCGGACTTCGTCGACGAAGAGGTTCTGCTCTTCGATTGCAAAGAGAGAGTCGTCGAAGCGGAGAGCCTCTGTCAGCTGAAACTCGGCGGTCGTCTGGCCCGTCATGCGGGAGCCCACCAACGTGTGGAAGGACGGCGCCGAGGCGTAGTTTGCCGACATGTGGCTGAGCAGCCTGTCCGCTGCGTCGAGGGGCGCCAGGGACTGCGAAAGGATGTGCTTTGCTGAGAGGCACGCCATGTCGCGGACCTCGTCGTCGTCGTCGTTGAGCGCGTCGTAGAGGGCGACCAGGGCCGGCAGACGGGGTGCGTCTGCGTCTGGGGCGGAGACGACGGAGAAGAAGGAGGCGAGGGAGGCGGCGGCCGCGATGCGGGTGTCGAAGGGGGATGAGTCGTGGCCGGCGGAGGACATCATTGTACCCCAGCCAAGAAGTGATTGCGAGGTGGCATCGCCGCGGAGGACGAGGGTCGCCAGCAGGGGCCCGCTGGCGCGGATGACGGCGTTGGATAGGTTGGGGTTTATCGTCTTTGTGTTTGCGTCTTGCCAGAGGGTGATGAGGGTTGAGGAGGCGGGAAGGAGGGTTGACTGGTTTGCGGACAGGACGAGGTCGATGTTTGAGGCGAGGTTTGTGAGGGCTGCCGCGCGGAGATCGGGGTGGGTTGTCAAGAGGGCGAGGTCGGTGTAGAGGGCTGCGTAGGATGCCGCATCCTCTGGGTTAAGACGGGGGTGACGCACACTGGAGAGGGTTTCCAGGATGGTGATTGTCGCCTCGACGGAGGTCGTGCTTGTGGACAGGAGAGTGTCGCGGAGGGAGGCGGCGGAGGGGTGGGTGTGCACTGCATTGACGGCGAGTTGCGTACGGAGGAGGGCGCTTTGCGGCGGCTGAGAGATTGAGGCGGGTGTCGTAGGGATCGTGAGGGTGAAGTTGGAGATGAGGTTTTGGACCTCGAGGTAAGCCGCGCGGATGTCTGGCGTAGACAAAAAGCATGCAGGAGCGTTCGCGTCAAGGTTTTGGAGGATCGAAGTCAGCCGCGGGACCGCGACGGAGAACTTTTGGGGGGAGACATCGGAGAGGCGCTCGAAGACGGCCTTGAGGGTGAGGAGGCTGCCGTGAAGGTGGTTGTTACGATTTGAGACGTCAGATGCCACAGCGTCGGTGATGATCTTCTCTCCCGCGTTCACCCAGTCATCGTCGCGGAGGAGGAACGAGCAAAGAGCGCGGGCTGCCATTTCACGGACATGCCACACAGGGCTGCCGAGGTAGCCAGTGACGAGATCGTAGAGCTCGTCTCGTGAGGTGTCGGGAGGCCCGGCGCGGCGGATGATGTCGAGGGCGGGGAAGACGGACTCGGCGGCAATGGTGCTCGTGCTGGGCTTCATGACCTCGCGGCCTGAGCGGAGGAGGTTGAGGAGGACGTCGGGGAGGATGGGATACTTGTGGTACTGCAGGCGCGTTGTACGCCCGTCCCAGCCTGCCTCCAGCGTTGCCTTGCTCTCGTTTGTGCCGAAAAGGTTGTCGAGGAGACTGCGGAGGAAGAGCAGACCGCAGTTGCGAATCGCCCAGACTTCCGACTTGAGACTGCCCGCTGCGAGCTCGAGGCACTGCGGGATGTGCGGGGCGGATTTGCCGAGCTGGGTGATGAAGGAGGACTTGAACATGTCCTTGAGACAGTTGAGGGCATGGACCTGCGGGAGCTTGGTGTCGTCTATCTCGGAGACGTAAGCAGGCTTCTGGGCGATGGCCACGAGTTCTGAAATCACGTCGTCAAAGGAGGGTTGCGCGGCGTTGGCAGAGACGATGCCTGTGATCATTGCGGGGATGCCTGCCGAGCGACGAGTTGTGGAGGCCTGGGCAAAGATGCATTCCTTTGTCCCGGCGAACCAGACATCGAGGAGGTTTTGAGATCCGTCGTCCGAGGCATCAAGGTGCTTGACCAGTTGACAGCAGGTCGCAAAGGAGAGCGAGACTGTGTTGAAGGCACCGCGGTGGCGGAGGCTGGACAATTGAGTGAATGTTAGAGTGCCGACCGTCGTAAATAGGGAGTTCGATGGGCGGAGGGTCTCTGGCTGGGGCTTGGATTTGAGTGGCAGGACCATGACGCGCATCAAACTGCTCGACTCGTGAATTGCGCGGAAGCTATAGCTGAGAAGGTCCTTCGTGTCGAGACCTTCGAGGTCTTCGAGCTCTTGGGGGAGGTGGCCTTCGGGGGAATCGTCGCAGAGGATATCTCGGACGGCGGCCCAGATGCGTTCGCAGCACTTGACGATGCGGGTTTGTAGGGTTGTCATGGTCGCGACTTCGGACTCGGAGAACTTCATTTCAACAGCGGCCTGCCAAATGTAGCGGAGAGAGGCAAAGTAGCCGTGGACGGGGGCCTCGAGAACAGCATTGCCAAGGTCGCCCTCGGCGAAGGAGAGCTTGGTCTCGAGGAGGTCAATCAGTTTGGCGATGTGGGCGATTTGGGCGTCTCGGTCGCTGTAGAATCTGAAGAGGAGCTCGTTGGTCCGGGCTACACCGTCGGCGTGGTCGGCGCGAGCCGTTCTTCTGGCAATATCTTCAGCCCTGGCCAGGAACTCCTCCAATGTTGGCGAGACTCCTTGCGTCCCAGTGAGGCACTTGAAGCGACTGTCGGAGAACAGGCTCTTCAAGACAGAAGTGCTGGCTTCACGCACGTCGTCAAAGGGGTCCATGATGAGGTCGAGGAGTGTGCGTGTCCATCTTCCATCAAAGTGGTTGAAGAATAGACTCTCGTCGTCCTCGGTCTCCCAGGTCTTGGACTGGTCAAACTCAAGCTTGAGGATGAAGATGACTGCCCTCAGCGAGGTGAAGTGCCGTTGGAAGGACGCAGTGGGAATCAGCTCTGAGCGCAGGAACCGCAGATACCAAGCCAGGAACTCTTCATGCTGCTGCAAGCTCTCGGTGAGCTTATCCTCGGGCCAGAATAGGATGTTGGTGCGGTGGTTGGCCTGTTTTGCAGGTTTGGGGGCGGGTTTGGGCTTCCCGTCAGCAGGAGGGGGCAACGCCTTGATGGCCTTAACGCGGTCGAGACTCTTCTTCAGGATGAAGATGGCGCCGCGACTCCGCTTGAACATGTCTTTCAGCTTGCTCAGAACCTCCATGCGGAACTTTGCGTCCGACTCTGAAAAGTACGTTTGCAACTGAACCTGCAGCAGACGGAGAGCTACGGGAGAGTAAGGCCTGGTGGTGGAAGGGGACGCAATAATGAGCGACAGGGCGAGTGAACGCAGCTCATGGGAAGGATGCGAAAGGACTTTTTGGAGAACCTCCTCTTCCAACACTACTGACGAGGAATCCTCTTGGACGATGGCACCTGGAGATCATGATGAGCAATCGTATAGACTCAGGGGTCAAACAACTTACCAGGCTCCTCAACCATGCCGACCTTCTTGCCAACCTCCAGCACTGCGAGGTTCAGCTGGGCAAGAGTATCCAGCTCGGCACTAGAATCAGACGCAGACCATGAGCTGTTGATCTGCTGCAGGATCTGGACAGAATCCTTGCGGTCATCCTTGAACAGGGGAAGGAAAACGTATGTCTTGACACCCTCCAAAAGAGAGGGTGTCGCGTCAATGGCGGCTTGAACCCAGCGGAGCCAAGCCACGACGCTGAAGCCATCGGTGCCCGTTGCTTGGGGGTTCTTCAGAGAACTCTGGCGCAAAGCACGGAAGATGGTCACGATGAACTTGCCGGCAGTGGGGCAAACGTAGTGCATCGTCATCCAGCCGAGCATCTGGCTGAAAAAGTCTTGCCACAGCGCCATTTCAGAGTCCCAACTGCAAGAAGGCTGCGTGCGCCTATAGCTGGCGGCGATATCTTCAACGGTAAAAACCTTGGCAGCAAAGTAGTCCATTGCCTTTAATGACGACTTCAATAAGGGCTTGGTGGACTGCGGCCCGATGATGGATATGAGGGTGTCGAGAACGGTCGTCTTGACCACCTCAGCAACAGCCGGGTCGGGATTGCGCCTGATCAGAGAAGGCAGCAGTTCCAGGACCAGCTTCATGGACCGGTGCTGCTCCGTCTCGTTCCACTTGATGAAGAAGTTGAACAGGCCCAAGCTGGGCTCCTTGGAGAAGGCCCATTCTCTCAGGGCGGGCTTACTGGACTTGGAGCTTTGCTCGACGAATCCACACAGCTTCACGCATGAGTTCCCAGAGATGCCTTTTGGCTGGGCGGCAAGAGACAGCAGGTGGTCAAACACGTCTTGAGCGAGACTAGGGTGCAAAAGTCAACCAACTACACCCTCAGAACAACATTTTGGAATTTCTTTATTTGGAATATTCTTACGGCGTCCATGACTCCTCCGGCTGCTCCTCGACCCATTTGAGCAGGTCGCTCGGTTTGACGAAACTCTCGTACTTGGGGGCGTCTTGCTTCATCGCGATCTCATCATGGAGGGGCACGGCGAGATGGAGTAGAACTGAGGGGCACAGAAGCGAAGTACTGGCCGAATGAGTGACAGGGGTTGGCGCGATCCTCAGGGTCTCTGTGGCGTACGACGGTGATGCACCTGATCTCGTACTTTGACTTTCGCACCGAAGTCTTACATAAAAATGCCCGGCGCAAAACGAGTTCGTCAGAGCGATGGTATGCTGTACCGCGCGCCGAGTGACATGCAATGAATTTTCACCGAGGGGCACGACCAGCAAGGTACATGGAGGGGCGGTCGACTCACTGCAGCCAGCGGCCGGCGAAGACTCATTCGGCAGGCGGGAGGCGGGCCCCTCAGCCAATCGCCTGCGCCTTCTGGAACGACACGCGCACGGGCCGCACCCACAAGTGGCCATCCCCTCTGCCCTAATTAAAACGACGCCGCCCCGCCCAAACTTTTCTCGAGCCTGTCCTTCTTTTTTTCGATCCATCACCCAACAACCCATCAACATCTACCGTAAGCACCAGATTACTGGGAGATATCGCCAAGATGTCGAAAATTACGGTCGCCAACGTCCGCGCTCAGGTCGGTGAGCTCCTCGAGTACTCCCTCGAGACCAAGAAGCGCAACTTCCTTGTCAGTATTCCCTCCCCGGGCGGCGTCGCAACATTTTTCGAATCGAGAAAACCCCAAGACTTGCGCAACGTCAATCGTCACCACACCCGCTAACCCCCCCATAGGAGACTGTCGAGCTCCAGATCGGCCTCAAGAACTATGACCCCCAGCGTGACAAGCGTTTCTCCGGAACCGTCCGCCTGCCCATCGTTCCCCGTCCCAACATGAGCATCTGCATTCTTGGTGACCAGCACGATATCGACCGTGCCAAGCACGGTGGCGTTGACGCCATGTCCGCCGACGATCTCAAGAAGCTCAACAAGAACAAGAAGCTGATCAAGAAGCTCGCTCGCAAGTACGACGCCTTCGTCGCTTCCGAGACTCTGATCAAGCAGATCCCCCGTCTCTTGGGTCCTGGTCTGTCCAAGGGTATGTCGCGTCTCCTCTCTTGCCACAATCGAACAGCAGCTAACCATTTCCTCACAGCCGGCAAGTTCCCCACCCCCGTCTCCCACTCCGACGACCTTACTGGCCGCATCAACGAGGTCAAGTCCACCATCAAGTTCCAGCTGAAGAAGGTTCTCTGCATGGGTGTCGCCGTCGGCAACGTTGGCATGACCCAGGAGGAGCTCGTTGGTAACATCATGTTGGCCATTAACTACCTCGTCTCCCTTCTGAAGAAGGGCTGGCAGAACGTCGGTAGCCTTACCATCAAGGCTACCATGTCTCCCCCCAAGCGCCTCTACTAAGCGCGTCGTTGGTTTTCTACGGCGTCTGTGCTAGAGTACCGCTGGGGCTGCGTCCTCGCGTGCTTGTGATGAGTGCATGAGGCACGCTGGCCTAGTAATGGGAAAGGACTACGGGCAATCATAGGAAGCTCTGCGCTCGGATCAGGAGCCGGCCAATACAACATCCTTTTCCGAACAAACACTTCTGGCACATTGTGAGAAACCGTGACTATGTGAATTATGTTTGATGTCACAGTGTTGCTAAACCCCATTTTGGGCTTGGCTGCTCAGAGCAGTTCATACATGAGACATCCCTTCCTAGCTAACAGCCATGCCACACAACCGATCTGCCATTCGTTTCTGCGCTGAACGCAATATTTGAAGAATATTGTTTTGACCACTCCCAATCAGCAAGGTGCAACAGTCAGCCAAAGGCCTCTTAGCAAAGAATACCATGGACGTCGCAAAACTTCTCAGACACCGGGAGATTGGCGGCAGCGTCCTTGGCCGCCCTATCTGCCTCGCCGTTCCACTGGCGCGGGATTCTCCAGAACCGAACCTGCATGCCCCTAGCCTTCAGCTGCTCAATCCTGAGCAGAAGCGTCTCCCACAGGTCACGATTCTTGACGCGGCCGCCAGTGCTCAAATGCCAGTCCTTGCGCATCCATGCACGCACCCAGTCCGTGGCGCCATTGACGACGTAGGTCGAGTCCGTAGCGATGACAATACTTTTGAAGCCCTCACCGTACCATTCGCGGAACCGCAGTGCGGCGATGACGGCACGCAGTTCAGCGCGATTGCTGGTGTGTTGGTAAACCTCGCCACCCGGGCCCTGGTCCTCGAGGCGCAAAGAGATCACGCCGGACTCCTTCTCCGAATAAGTGGGCTTGAAGACGAATGCACAGCCGCCGCGGGCCTTTGCGGCGCCGTTGTCGAGGCAGGCTCCGTCCGTGTAAATGAGGGCCTCTGACTTGTTGTAGCGGTTTATGAAGCGGATTACATTTGGTATTGCCTTTGTGCTGACACCGGGAGGGAAGTGGTCCACCGGGGATAGAGCGTCGTTGCCTGGTTCAAACACGGTAGGAATGACGTTACCCTGTGGTTTCTTGTTGAGGTCGTAGTCCCTTCCGAATGGCCCTCCCCGGAGAGGCTTGGACTCAATGATGCCCTCCGCGGCGAAGTCGCGCTTACGTCCGTACTTGCTGTTGGCGACATCGTCGAAAGTGACATCACGGGGCAAGGCGTTGATACCGGTGCTGAAGAGCTCTTCGTCTGATGAGTCGTCCATCAAGCGGCCCTGGCGGAACTTGCGTTCCAGACGCTCAAGTTCGCCCTCTTCCTCGTCTTCGCCATGGCCATCTTCTACCTCATAGCTGAAATCGAGGCAGCAGCGTCCGCAAACGACTTGGTGATGAAGCGCGCAGACGGTGATGGTCCGCCCATTGGGCAGGTCGAGATAGTCGATGTCCGGTGGTGAAAACATGGCGTTACCCCGCTTGGCATTGAGGAGGTTGTGATAGACACAAAGATGTTGATGAGAAGGTAGAATTTTTCTTTCTGACAGAGGGGGAAGTGGAGCTGTCGGGAAGTCTCGTTCTTGAAATCAATCAGCTCAGGGAGAACATTGACGTTGGCAGGGAGGATGTATTTGGCAAATCATCTGACGAGTCAAGCTGAGATTATATATGAGTGATGGTGCAAGGAGACGCGGACGGAAAAAAAAAGGAAGGAATGATCTAGGGTCAGGTCAGTGAGGCAGGCGCAAGGAATCGGAAGTGGCGGCCTTCAGTATCTACCTTGCCTAGGCAGGGAAAGAAACAGCGACCAGGAAGAAGGAGAGGCAAGAGAAAGAAGAGAGCTGTGGCAGTAACGCCCGATACTGAAGCGACGCAGAAGGAGCAATATGTCCACGTTGTCATTCTGTCTCATCTCCGATTGAAGTAGCAATTTATCAGTCCCAAGCTTCCGCAAATAGCTGCTGCAAACGGGCACGTTGAACGGCCGGGCTTCCACCGTCCAACCCACGCGAAATCGATCACATCGTGATATGTGTGCAAGAAATAATTTGGGCAACACTGGCGGAGTTTACTCCGAAGACCTGGTACTTTGGGCCCAATCCAATTGTGAGCTGCAGGGACCTGAAGACTACTTGCGTGTGTGCGCGTGTCGACAACATTGGAGAGCAAACAGCAACCTGCACCAAGCCACTGCCGGTTGATGTTATCCGGGCCAGCACCCTGAAGGTTCCCGCCTATTTAAATTAGAATTCAACGTGTAAAGCAACACTCACAGATTCTCGATCAGAATGTGTTCATCGTGTTTTGAACTGCACAACTTGTCTAGAGATAGACCTAGCGTCACCTGTCAACGTGCATCACCAATATGAGCGGCCAAATTGCCACAGAGACGCCACAAAACACAGTCTGCAGCATAGCCTTTCTCAAGCGCAAAGCGGACTTGACGCAGGAGGAGTTCTACCATCACTGGGAGAATGTCCACGGGCCTCTTGTCAGACCCTGGGCCGAGAAGCATGGCTTCATCTCCTACACCCAGGTAAACACGCCGCACTCCCGTTGAATACCTCGACTAAGAACGTCCACCATCACAGGTCCATGCCGCGCAGGCGATGAACAAAGGAGCAACACCTATAGGACCCGAGTCTCGCGATGCCAACTCTTTGGTGGGCTTCGACGGATGCGCCGTCTTCGAACTGCCCAGCCTCGAGGTGTTTACAGCCGCTTTCAAGGATGACTACTACCTCAACGTGATCGAACCCGACGAGAAGAACTTTATCGACAAGAAGGCCGGTGTAATGAGGTCCAGGGGCGATATGAGGAAGATCCTGTAGTGACAGATTCTGGTGGTGTATTCACCGAGTGCGCCAAGATCGACAGGATACGAAGCCGCATTCGAAGAATATGCGATGCGAAACGAAACTGAATGTCACTAAAGTCGGTGGTGGGTATCTATCTAACGTACTTGCTCATGAATCGCTTGTGGAAATCTGAGCGGAGGAGATCCTGTAATCGAGTTAGCAAAGCCGCACACATGCCAATCCACACAACAAACTTACGTTGATGAACTCCTTGCCCTTCTTCTCCTCGGTGCCTCTCGCCTGGTTCTTGAAGACGACGTCGTCATCCCACCGTCGCTTCATGGCGAAGTCGGGCTTATTCAGCAGCGGGTTCCCTAGCGCAATGTCCCGCTCCCTTTCCTCCTCCTCCGCCTTGGCCCTCTCTCGCTCCTCGCGCTCCCTCTTCTCCGCCCTCTCGCGCCTGATCTTTTCCATCTCCCGCTGCAACTCTGCCTCCTCATCATCGCTGCCCTCGTCGCTGTCGCTATCATCATCCTCCTCTTCGTCTTCCGAATCGGCGTCTATATCTCGCGACTCTTCCAATATCCTCCGCCTCTTCGTCTCAAAGTCTTCCTCGCCATCTGCTTGTGATGCCGCCTCCAGAGCGCGCTTCACGCCACCGACAGGCGCGTCGTCGTCGGCAGCGGATGGGGGAGGAGCACCGCCGTTCTTCTTGGCGAAGTGAGCTGCCTCGGCGGCGAGGAGCTCGGCTCTGAGATCGCGGGGTTCGTCGTCGGCCTCGCCGCCCTGACCGGCCTGGCGGAACTTGAGCTGCGTGTGCGCCGGAAGGAGGCGTTGATGGTAGGCCGGACCGCGCAAGGCTTCTTTGCCTCGTGCCTAAATTTATTTGTCAGTATTCAAAAGAAAGAGCGAATGGAAAGGTTGAGCGTACCGGATCGAAGGTGGGACGGTGAGCGGTGGTCATTTTGGAATGCTGTGTCGAGATGTAGAAGTCGTGTTGATGATTGAAGTTGGCTAAACTGGGTCGCAAAAGGGACCTTCTCCAGATGCACTGCTGCACGCGCAGGTGGCTGACAGGCCCAGGTTCAGCTGCAGGGGTACTGTGAGCTAAAGCATCCACCGCCCGGCAGAATTTTTGCAGGCGCCCCACCAATACGATTGACCTCAGTAAACACTTCCAGTAACTCCAGAGTGGCTCTCAGTCCGAACTGTGAGAATTGGCCCTTTACCGCAAGAGTCCAACCGCCAAAATGCCCAGAGAAGCCGAGCCATCAGCAAATGAGAAGGCCTTCGTCACACAAGCTCTCAAGGAGAACTTGAGGCTTGACAGCCGCGAATTCGACCAATACCGAAAAGTTCAACTCACTTTCGGTGATGAGTATGGAGTGGCCAATGTAGAGCTGGGCAAGACGACGTACGGAAATGGTCAATTCTTGAGAAGCAAAGAACGGCATGTGCTAACCAATCTCACAGAATCCTCGTCAAAGTCTCAGCAGAAGTCACAGTCCCCTACGCAGACCGCCCATTTGAGGGCATATTCCAAATCGTCACTGAGCTGAGCCCCATGGCGTCGCCGGCCTTTGAGGTCAACCGCCCGACCGAAGCCGAGGTCCTGCTCTCACGCCTGCTCGAGAAGACGATCCGCCGGTCCGGCGCCCTCGACACCGAGTCGCTGTGTCTCGTTGCCGGCCAGAAGGTCTGGTCCGTCCGCGCCGACGTCCACGTACTTTCCCACGACGGCAACCTCACCGATGCGGCCTGTCTCGGCGTCATCGCCGCCCTGCGTCACTTCCGCAAGCCCGACACCAGCAACGAGGGTGAGGCCCTCACCATCTTCACCCCGGCAGAGCGCGAACCGGTGCCCCTGAGCTGGCTGCACAGCCCCTTCTGCGTCACCTTCAGCTTCTACGGCGACGAGGGCGAGATCACCCTCATCGACGCTAACTGGCTCGAGGAGCAGCTGCGGACGAGCAGCCTGACGGTCAGCTTGAACAAGCACGGAGAGATTAGCCAGATTTCCAAACTCGGAGGGACGCCCGTGGAGGCGGTGACGCTGCTGCACTGCGGCAACGTGGCGCTGCAAAAGGCCAAGGATTTCTCGACGCTGGTGGACGAGAAGCTCGCGGACGACGCCAAGCGGAGGGACAAGGGCGGTCTCATCTCGGAGCTGTTGTCTGCGGAGAATGACAGAGTAGTGGACGCATAGATTTGTCATGCCTGACGTAGAAGAAAAATTGTAAAATGATACCCAGCCATATACGCTCTCTCTGGAACCATCAAACATTGGTAGTGAACATCTTCTCCCGTAGGGTACTCGTCCTCCTCTTGGGGCCAAACTCCAGAAACGCCGCTCTAATGATTTGTGAAACATCATTGCCTCGTGAACCGAAACGAACATTCCCCGTACGCAGCATCACCGCATCACCGGCGGCCTCGACTCCTTGTTCCACTTCACTCGCGACCTCACCCACTCCACCGCCTCCTTCACGCCCGTCCCCGTCAGCGCACTCACGGGCAGCACCCTCGAGTCGCGGATGCTGCTCGCCTTCTCGCCCTCAAACACCTTCTTCACCAGCCCCTCCTTGATCCTGACGACCTCGACGCAGTCCTCCCGATCCTGCTTGTTAGCCAGCACCAGCACCGGCACGCCCTCCGTCTCGGAGTGTTGCAGCACGTCCTCCAGCACCAGGCGGCACTCCTCCAGACGCCCCGAGCTGTCGTGCTCCAGGTTCCCGTCGCCGATATCAGTCGAGTCGATGATGAAGACGATGGCGTGCGCGGAGGCGTAGTAGCTCTGCCACAGCCGGCGCAGCGAGTGCTGGCCGCCGACGTCCCAGATCTTGAGGTACATGTCCGGCAGGGTGATGGTCGATACATTCTGGCCGACGGTCGGGACGGTTTTGAGCTTCGGGTCTGGGTGCGAGGGCAGGAAGAACGACTTGACCTGCTCGTGGAAGGTGGTCTTGCCGGCGTTGTCGAGGCCGAGGAGGATGACGGAGTATTCTGCGCAAAGGAAGCGGATTAGCGAGAGCCGGCCAGACGACGTGTCGTTTCAAGTGCGCGAACCTTCTTTACTGGTGGCCAGGAGGTAGAGGCCCTTTGCGAGGTGGTACATGGTGGGCAGCGGTCGCTTGCGGACAAGCTCGTCGCGCAGTCGTGGGCTGGCGGGGCGGCGTGGCAGGTTATCGGCGACGGAGGCTTCGTTGGCGGCGCAGGGCGGGATGGGGACGATGGAGGTGAGGTGGATGGTGCTTACCGTCCACGACGGGACGGGAGCTGACGCTGGAGCTTGGTTGTTCTTCGGCGCTGACACGCTGTCCGTAGCGCCGTCGGTGGGGGCAGTGCAGGGGTTTCAAGGGACTTTGCGTTGGCGGCTCTTCAGCCCTATGCCGCCGTCATGCGTGAGAACCCGGAGAGTCGACTGATCTAAATCTCCGCATGTTCTGATCGACGGATGCTTGTTCGAAGCTTCAACTACAGTTCTCTGCATCGTTGTTGAAAGTTTGGCCTGTATGTCAGGTCTTGTTTCTTGAGCGGCTGATTTCTGCATGCCAGATAGCCACCGTTGATTGCTCTTCACTTCAGCCAACTTTCTTGCTCGTGCCGTCGTCTTCGCCGTCTACACCCCGCCTCCTGGACCTGACCTATCTCAAAATGTCACCATAAGAGAGCATTCACAGTACATCTCACCATATAGGTGTCATTTCGTCACACATACACTTTCACGTCTATTCATCCAGTTCTATCCATCGTCTATGCTCGCTACAACCCCGCCGGCGCCCGAATCACACCCTCACATCTTGGGGATGGTGGTTGCGTATCCCTCAATCACCGCAGTCATCAAACGGTTGGCAATGGCCGTGGGGGGAGGCAGACGGAGGCTGCCCTCCTTGTATCCCTCGGGTGCCGCCTCTCCAAGGCCGCTCACGCCGGTCTTGAGCGCTTCCCTCACAGTCTCAAAAGGGAACCATTGGGCGTCCTCGAGCTCAGGGTCGTTTCCAAGGTCAATGGTCTCGCCGTCAGGAAGAGCCTGGGCGATGGCTCCAATCATCAAGCTGGCAGGGTACGGCCACGGCTGGCTCGAGTGGATGACGACTCTGCCAACTCTCACACCACTCTCCTCCAAAACCTCGCGGCGGACAGACTCCTCGATGGACTCGCCCGGCTCGATGAAGCCCGCGAGGGTGCTGTACCAGTGGGGAGGCCACCTCTTCTGGCGACCAAGGAGCACCTTCTGGCCGTCGGCAGAGACGACGGCGGCGATCATGGTCGGGTCTGTCCTGGGGAAGCTGATGTTGGAGACACCGCCGCGCGTGGGGCATTCGGGCCTGTCAAGCGCAGCCCCGGTTCCAGCAAGATCCGTGGGAGGACACAGGCGCTTGTAGCCAGTGTTTCCCGACAGGGTGGTTTGCCCACAGCCCGCGCAGAACTTGTTGCGGGAGTTCCAGTCAGCAAGCGACCTGGCCTGGGCGTAGATGCCGGCTGGTGTGCGTTAGCATATGGAGATTGTGTTGGTTCTCACGATGACCTACCAGCATCCGGCTCGAGAGTAATATGCCTGGTACCCTGGAGGAAGTTGTTGCCCTTGGCAGACTGAGCCTCGATGAGCTGGTTGGCAGCCTCTGCGTACGGGCCTTTGGGGGTCACGTCAACGGCGAACCAAGGACGGCCCTGGAGACCCTTGTACTCAAACGGGACCTTGGCGCCCTCCTCCAAGCCGAGGAAGATGATGAGCGGGCGGGAGACGGAGGAGTCGTAGTTCTTGATAAGGTCCTCCTCGGAAGGCCCAAAAGGGTCCTCCGAGGTCACAGACTTGACATCGTCAAAAGACACGAATGCGAGTTTTGAGGGGGCGCTGGTCAAAGGGCTGAGGTCCTTGAGGAGCATGAAGTTGGTCTCCTTGGCCTGGAACGCGGATCTGATAAAGGTGTGGTCGGTCCGCAGCCAGCCAACACGGTTCAGGGCGCTGCCGGCGAAGTAGTTGACGGTCTCCCGTCCGAATTTCCGGGACAGCATCGAGTCGGGGTGGTCGACGGGTGCAGGGAGATTGGGGATCTGAGAACCCATGCCGAGGTTGGTTGGGCAGCGGTGAAGCTATCGCGGGATTTCCGGGTGCGTGTGTGACAGTTGTCGCCGATGCAGGAGACAATGTGAGTGGCTTGAGCTCTCGGGACCAAGATAAGTGATTATGGCTGGAGCCTGTCAAGCAATCACTTGGAGTGTTCCTGGAAATGCAAATATTCAAGACGTGTAGTGGCGGCGGGCTGTCCCGGCTGATTAATCAGATGTAAGAGACACGGATGGCGGGGACGTAATGCGATGGAGCCGTGACGGTGAATCACGACTCGCCGCCTGAGCTCCGATAAATGGAGCTTCCGGAGATCCCCTGTGGGCGCAGAGCAGCCGTGCGGGAGCAGGCCATCGACTGGTCATTACCTGCCCGCCCTAGGCAGGTAGGCAGGTAGGCAGGTAGGTAGGTACCCGGAGTTGTCGCGGCATCGGCCTGACACCCGCCAGCGATGGACGCCAACACTGCCCGACACATCAGGTCCAACTCTGTTGCGAGAAGCCAGACATATTGCGAGCCTTTATCCAGTGGAGGAGACCCCGGGATGAGCTGGTGACAGAGGGACGGCGCTCCAATGGCAGCCCGCGACAAGTCAGATGTCAAGTGAGATGAGGTGCTTAAGCTTATCTCCACTCCGACTTGGCCCCCGAAATCGCCCAGAAAATCGAGGTCCGGTGGATTGGGGGATCTTGCCGAGGCGAAAATTCCGATTTCTCAGTCATCGTCCACCGCCCACCGCCCAGGGCGTTCCCGGTCCAGCACTGGAGGACGAGCTGAGCACTAAATTCCTGCACAGCAGCACCTGGCAAAAATGGGTGTTTCAGCGCGTCTTAGCGTCTCTTCCCCCGCATTTTGGCGACCCTTTCCGGCGACAGTGGGCAATAGCGGTGACGTCGTGGCACCTCGCTAAGCTGCAGCTGGCGAAATACCTGCTGGCGCACGTGTCCGCCGATGGCGCGAGGGAGCGCCGAAGCGGAAGTGGGAGCAGCTTTCCAATTTTTCGACTCATTTTCGCAATTGTCTTGTCCATGGAAAAGTCTTTCCACTCGACATCGCCAGGATTTGTAGGAGGACACCCCTTTTTTGCTATTGCCGTTCCTAATGTCGAGTCGGCAATTTCCTTACTAGACTAATTGATCACTTCCCTTCCTTCCCCAGGATCTTTTCTTCTTCTCCTTTGTTTCCTCATATCGTTGTCTCCTTTGTGGTACCACTTTGTCGCATCACGCCTCCGACCTGCGCATCACCATGGCTCCCCCTACCGAGCCTCTCAACCTCGATGTTGAGGCCATTTCTGGCATTTGCGGGTAAGTTTGAAAACGCCCACCTCCAAAATTTCCAGTCTCTGACCTGATTGCGTCTAGCTCCATCTCAATTGCGTGCTGGGTTGTGGTCTTCTCCCCCCAGATCCTCGAAAATTTCCGTCGCGGCAGTGCCGACGGTCTGTCGCTGCAGTTCATCATTGTCTGGCTGGCTGGCGATGTCTTCAACATCCTGGGCGCCGTCCTTCAGGGCGTTCTCCCGACCATGGTGAGTCACGGCCCATGCATGCCTCAAGCATCGATGACCCTGGCTAACGCTATGACTCCTTGCCCAGATCATCCTCGCCATCTACTACACGATTGCCGACATGGTTCTGCTGGGACAATGCTTCTACTACCGCGGCTTCACCTGGAAGGACGAGGTGGTTCCCCCGACCCCGAAGCCGCGCAACCGCACCGGCGAGCCGAACGAGCGGACCGGCCTCCTGCCCGCGTCGGCCATCGAGCGTGAGCGCCGAGGCTCCGACTGGTCCCATCTCTCCCCTGCCGTGCCAATGCGCCCCGAATCCGCGCCCGCTCCTCCGCCGAGGCCCTCGACCGTTCTGCAGGCGATTGCCTGGAACACCACCGCCATCATCATGGTTTGCGCCGCCGGCGTCCTCGGCTGGTTCCTCAGCCGCGGGTACTCCGACAAGGAGCCCGACCACAGCAACAGCGACGAAGATTCCCTGGAGTTCAACACCCTCGGCCAGATCTTTGGCTGGCTCTGCGCCGTCCTGTACCTCGGCTCTCGCCTGCCGCAGCTCCTTCTCAACTACCGCCGCAAGTCCACCGAGGGCGTCAGCATGCTCTTCTTCCTCTTTGCCTGCCTCGGCAACCTGACCTACGTGCTGAGCATCTTTGCCTTTGAGCCCCACTGCAAGAACGAGTGCTCCCCGTCCGAGGCGAACCGCATCTATGGCCGCTACATGCTGGTCAACCTCAGCTGGCTGGCCGGCAGCTTGGGCACCCTGTTCCTCGACATGGGCATCTTTGCGCAGTACTTCATGTACCGCACCGACGGCGAGCTCAGCGACATTGAAGAGGAAGATGACGAGAGCATCGACGAGGATCGCTGGGACCAGCGACCGCTCCTCGCGCGTGGTGACTCGTCATACCCCTAGACGAGGCACATCCCTGATATTTAATTGTTTTTAGAGTATTGCATATACGGAAGTAATTTTGGCGCATTTTGAAAAGGAAAAGGGGGCAATCGTTTTACAAAAGAAGTCTTGCATTGTGGGGTTACAATCGGCGCAACAAAAATGGTCATCACATCTGGAAAATAAAACGGGACAGGTCCGCAGAGGTAGATCATTTGACATAGATCATCTGATGACTGCTCTAGAAAAGAATTGAATTCAGCTTGCATACTCATTCACCTATCCCTTCTACAACCACCCGATTCTCTTCCAGAAGAAGCTCGCTCCGCCCATGAGAGCAGTCACGCCCGTGAAGATGATCAAGGTGCCGTACCCGCTGCCGTACCCATGTGCCAACTCGCCCTTCCACGGGGAACCGCTGATTAAGGCCTCGCTCAGCGGTCCCGAGATGACGTTGCCGATGCCACGCCCGGCAGCCAACATGCCAAAGACCATGCTCGAGTCGACGCCGCGCTCCTTTTCACGTTCGTGATCGGTGACCTGCTTCATAATGCCGGGCCACGCCGACGTATACGCGCCAGCAAAGAGCCCGTACACGACGCAGAAGAGGTACAGCACGCCCAGGCTGGACGAGAAGCCCCAGATGAAGAACGTGCCGAGCGCGGCGCCCACGCTGGCGAGCATGATGCACGACGGGGCCGAGAAGCGGTCGACGAGCGAGCCCATGCCGATGCAGCCGAACACGGAGGCGACGTTGACGAGGAGCAGCGTCAGCGCGGACGGGAAGGCCGAGGCGCCGAGCGAGCTCTGGGCGTACATGGGCAGGTAGATGCCCGGGAGGAAGAAGCCCAGCGCCTCGACAATGTTGGCGAGCTGGTGCAGCACGAAGGGGCGGCTCAGCATGAACTTGAGGTTCTTAAAGGGCGCGGCGTGAATGGGCGAGAGCGACATCTGCGAGACGGGCAGGCGCGGCTTGATGAAGAAGGCGAGGGGCGCGGTGAGGCCGAAGAGGACGCCGGACCAGATGCGCAGCGTCGTGCGGAAGCCAACGGTGCCGAGGAGGTACTCCAGCAGGAGGGGGATGATGACGCCGCCGAGGCCGGTGCCGGACCACATGACGCCGTAGGCGAAGCCCTTGCGGCGGACGAACCACTGGTCCATGTAGAGGATGCAGGGCAGGTAGGCGATGGAGCCGCCGACGGCGTAGAAGATGCCCTGAGTCACAATGAGGTGGGGCACGGTCTGGGAGAAGGAGGACATGGCGAGGGCGATGCACATGATGAAGAGGCCCACGATGGGTGCGTGGCGGCTCTGGTGGGGGAAGAGGCGGAGGAGGCCGATTACGAGGAAGCCCGAGAGGTACATGATTCCCTGGGGAGGTTAGTGTCTGGGGCATTCGGGGCTCGTCGGATTCATACCATGGCGCAGGTGCCGATGACGGCGATGTTTGGTTGCCCGGCGAAGGGGGCGTTGGTGGAATAGTAGTTTTGGAAGACACCAAAGGCGAAGGGGAAGCCCCATACGAGCACCTCGATGGCGAAGCACGCGGCAAGGAAAAGCCACGCCTGCTTGCCGCCGTCGACGGGAGGGAGCGAATCAAATTCCTGGCTGGAGCGGTGGTTGTCCTGGACATTGTCGTCGACGCCGGAGCCAGACTCGGGGCTCTCTGCGGCGTACGGATCCCGAAGAGGCGGGGTCGCGGCCGGAAGAGGTGCCGTCAGGTCCGGGTCAGCCCCGGCGCGGAGGTGTCTCAGCTCGGTTTCTGAGGTTGACATTGCTTCCGACTCTTCAGGCGGCGTTGCTTGCAAAGACTTTGTTGTCAATTGACAATCTGAAGAAGTGCTGCAGAGTTGATCGGGAGCCGTTCCGGTGGGAGTTTTAAAGTCTGAAGGGTTGCAGAGGTAGCGGGGATCGGCTCGGATTGGGTGCCCACTCTGCGCCCTCCGCTTGACGGCTGTTGATCCCTGGGGTTCAGCCAACCGAGGGCGCGCGCTAATCCCACTGCATCAGATTTTATGGGTCTTGTTGGTGCTAAGGGTGCATGCAGCCAAGATTTTCAGGTCGGATTCCTCTGGTCGCTCTTTTCTCTCTCTAGAAGGTTTGTTCGAATTGCATGTAAGCAGTGTCGCCGGTGCACCTGACCGGAGACATCGCCGAGTCTACCGGGTCCGACTCCGGTTTCGGACCCACTCGGTCCGTGGCATGCGGCACCGGCCTACCTTACCTATTGCAGCAGCACGCACGAGACGCTCGCGGAGCTGAAGTCTGGTGCAGGCATAACTTATTCAAAATGCCGCCTGTCGCATGCCTCTTCACCTGGGCGATCGGCCAGTCTTGATTTGACCCGACTTGCTCAACTTGTGCAAGTCCTGGCAATCTACATACGACGTCTGGCAAGCAAGTTTGAAAAGTGAGATCTTACAATCTCGATACTATTGTAGCTCGAACTTCATCAAACCGCATCATTCTCAACCTCGACTTCATTGGATCCTCCATCTGAAGTCGGCGGTTTCGAATTGAATCCTTCCCTTAACCCCGACGAAAGCCGCTCGAACTCCAAACACGTCGCTTCCAAGTCGAGCAACAGATTGTCTCTCTTGAATCGCCCACCAAGGGCTGAAGAATGTTCTGGGCGCCGCAACCCTGCAGCCCGTAATACCACGTCAGATCGCCCATCATTGTAAGCGGCGATCGCTCGGATTCGGGCCCAGAAGAAGGAAAAAAGAACCCGTCAATAACCCGATCATTGGTTGGCAGACCGAGTCAGCCCATGGCGGGTTACTGGGATCTCTTTACTTTAACTGCCACCGAACAGCACCCTTTCTTAGCATATCCGTCAAACAAGTGTGCCGCGTCACTATTAGCATGTAAATGAACGTAGACTAGTAAGCCTCAAAATAGCCCGTTAGTCGCATTCCTACAAACCCCTCCTGCAGCCAACATCAACCGTCTCATCTTCCACTCTCACTGTCGCATGAATCCATTCAGGACAGGCACTGAAAGGCATCTTCGTCCCAAGAGGCGATGTCAAGGCAGGAACAGACTTTTCCTTCCGACGCAACCTTCCCACCGTCTGTCACTACTCAGTACCGACCGCATGCCCGCGTTTGGCGTCACCCCTCGCTGAGGTCATTCCCCCCCACCACGTACACCACCCCAAGGATCCCCCACCATCCACGACAGCAGGCACACCACGAGGTCAGGCGAAGGAGCCTTGTCTCGCACCGCCGCCCACGACTCGATGAAGGGATATCCCGAGCTCGCGTCACGCTGCCAGCCGCTTCACCTTCCTATCCCACGGTGAACAGCCCTCGGCTGGCGGCCGAACAGCTTCTGTGGTAGTCCTCAAACCCGCAGCAAACACCGGAACGCGCAGCACGACCTGCAAGTGCCGCCTGATGCAAGCCCGGTCCATCCTTGCAGCTTTTCCTTTGAAATCCGTGTATTCACACAACGGATGTCGTACCAACACCCCGGTCTTGCACTCTTTTTCGGACCACTCGTCTGGCTCGGATTAAGTTGCCCTGAGCTTTAATTCTCTTTTTCCAGGCCAAGGCTTTCTTCCAGCTGTAGCCAGTCTGCCTTCCGTTATGCAGATGGGGGCCCAGAGAGACCCCCGGACCTGGCGAGGGCGGCGCGCGGTCCACGGTTTCTGATTGTTCTACGGCCTGGTCTTCGAATCTTCTGCTCATTAATAAAAAGGATTTCCCGCACGTCCTCGTGTTTGGTCTGAGGTTTTCTCTTCCTTTTTGTCTTGTTGTGCCTGAACCTTCGATCCGTGTTTCCAACGTTACATCGACACCTTTGGTTTCGAAGCTGAAAGAATTCCCGGTCTTCTTCTGTCTGAGTCGACGCGACGACATACAATATCCGGTGTTTCCCATCCATCGAAGAATTTGACGAGGACGAATTTGTCTCACTCTGTGTAATACGTAATTTTCAAAATGTCGGGTCCGGTCGAGTACAACCAGATGCCAAGGGAGCCTGCGCCGGCGATGATTGTGGAGCCGAACCATTCCGAACAACCCGTGAGTTCCGCCGTCACCCACGATTTTCGGTCTCTGGACTCGAATGAGCAGCTCTTCGCTCCGTAACTGAGATGCTAAGCAATTCCACACTGACGGTTTGTACCAGCGCTTGGTAGAGCCCATGAAGATGGAACAGTCAACGTCCCTACGAGGCGGTAAAGCAGACGGCGGAGTAAGCAAAGCCCTCCAGCTCCCAACCCATGATTCTCCTCATCAACTTCCCCAAACTTGACCACGTCTTGTAAAAGTCCTGTCGTTTTCGCAAAACCACATCGACGCCCTCAAGTCGCGCGTAGGTTCGGGGAGGCTGATGCTCGAGACTCACCATTGGAATTTTCAACAGCTAACAAACAACTCTCACCTGCTGCAGGCCATCTGCTGCGGTATCTGCGCTGGCCTCTGCTGCTTCGAATGCCTCGAGTGTTGCTGCTGCTGCTGTTAGTCGACTCCAGCGGCGGCCCGATCAGATGTGACAACGAGGCACCGACCGGCTGCTCCTCACTCTTCACTCTTGTAGATCGAATATGCGAGTCGGCGTCGAAGAACACGAAACGACCGCTCTTGAAACCCCGATCCGCGCAAGCGGCGGGCGACTCGTGTGAGCACTTATGAATTTCACGGACGGAAAGGGACGGGCGCATTTGCACATATACCAAGGCCATGAGTTTTTTCATGAGCCACCAAGATCATGTATAAATCTTTAGAACAGTTTCTAAACAATTGTATTTGGGTATTTCAAGCTTTCTTCGCGGCGCGCATCATCCACGGCTGCCCGCTCGGCTTCTTGTGTCTTCTCGAACCTCGGCGCGGAGGCGGTGGTAGTACACGGCGTCTATCCTGTCAAACGCATGCTTGACTCTAAGTGAGGAGACTCTCGTCTAGGTCGTTTGTCTATCGCCATCTTTTGTTTGCATCGTGACATCGTAACTTCTTACAACTTGGCGCGGGGCTCCTCGGGACTGATGTCGGTGTTAGTCTTCGGAAACGAATGTGTAGATATGAATGAGGACGGGGAACTTACGCAGCAATCTTCTCAGTCGCCTTCATGATAGCACCACCGAGCGTCGGGTTGACCTTGGAGAACATCTCGTAGGTGCGCGAGCGGACCTCGGGGATGGCGCCAGCAAGAGCGCCAGAGATGTTCTTGACAAAGTTCTCCTGCTGGCCGGGTGTGCGGCCGAGGACATTCCAGAGACCGTTGGCCTGCTCGTAGTCCTGGTCGGTGATGGGGCCGAAGAGATCCTCGACGACCTTGCCGGCCCACTGCTCGTGAGGGCTGGCGGCCTTGACGGGTGCGTAGTTGAGAGGGCGGAAAGTGGAGGGGTAGTTCTGAATGCGGTTAACATAACTAGCATGGGGAACTGGTGATAGATTTGAACTCACGGGGTTAGCACCGTAGTTGCCGTTGACAGCCATGGCACCGTCTCTCTGGAAGGGGTTGAAGGAGTTCAGGGGCTGGTTGACGGGAATCTGTTGGTAGTTGACACCAAGACGGTGACGATGGGTATCGGGGTAAGAGAAGAGACGGCCCTGAAGGACGGGGTCGGCTGAGGGCTCAACACCGGGAACCAGGTGAGAGGGAGAGAAGGCGACCTGCTCAATCTCGGCGAAGTAGTTCTCAGGGTTCTTGTTGAGGGTGAGCTTGCCGAAGGGCCTCAAAGGAACCTCGCTCTGAGGCCAGACCTTTGTCAGGTCAAAGACGTTCCACTTGAACTTCTCGGCCTGTTCGGGGGTAAGAGTCTGGACGTAGACTGTCCAGCTAGGGTGGTCGCCCTTCTGGATGGACTCAAAGAGGTCCTGGGTGTGCCAGTCGGGATTCTCGGACGCCATCTTGCCAGCCTCCTCGTTGGTGAAAGTCTTGTTTCCTTGGTCGGTCTTCAAGTGAATCTGGACGTAAACGAAAGAGCCATCGGGCTTGGTCCACTTGTGCGTGTGGCCGGAATAACCGTTCATGTGTCTGTAAGAGTAAGGAGTTCCACGATCAGAGAACAAATGCATCAATTGATGGACGCATTCCGCATGGGAGGACCAATAATCGAACTACATTTAACGTTAAAAAGCGTTATTTCAAGTCCGGAATCAATTGCTTACCATCTGGTTAAGTTAGCGAAGTCGTGATGCGAGTTGTGGTGTTGAGACTTACCATGGTGGCATCCTTCAGGTTAGTTTGCGGGTGGCGCTTCTGGGTGTGAATGAAAACCTAAAAATGGTAAGAACAATGCCGGAAGGACCAATCCATCAATTTCAATTACCGGGAAAAGACTCGGGTCGCGGAGGAAGAAGATGGGAGTGTTGTTGTAGACCCAGTCCCAGTTGCCCTCCTCGGTGTAGAACTTGATGGCGAAACCGCGGGGATCGCGCGCAGAGTCGGCGGAACCCTTCTCTCCACCGACGGTAGAGAAACGGACGACGGCCTTGGTCTTCTTGCCGACCTGGTTGAGCATGTTGATCGAGGTGATGTCGCTGATGTCGTGAGTGACCTCGAACTGTTGTCGCATGTCAGTGTCTCGCCTTCAGAGACCGCCTGCTGTTCCGCCATACCTCGCCATAAGCACCGGCACCCTTGGCGTGCACGACACGCTCGGGAATGCGCTCGCGGTCAAAGTGAGCAAGCAGGTCGATCAGGTGGAAGTCCTGGAGCAGGAGAGGTCCGTTGGGACCGGGACGCTGCCAATGCTGGGGGTTCTGGACCGGCGCGCCATTGGAGGTGGTGTAAGTCGGCTTCTCGTTGTACCGGTAGGTGGAAGGGGGCTTCTCGTCGGATCCCATTGTGTCGGCTGTCTCTCGGATCGAGGATGAGACTATGGGGGTTCGGATGTGGGAGGGCGGGTTGGAGGGTTACACTGCTAGAGTGTTGTTGCTTAGCTGCTTGAGTCCAAGTTGGATATCAAGAAACAGAAGCGGCAATTGGCAATTCAGATCAAAAGAAGATCAAAGAGGATCTTCAGGGGTCCAGCGGGAGGGAAGGGGAAACATAAATACTTTCAAAGGCTGCGCGCAGAGAAAAAGAAATGCCCCCGGGCAATCCATCCAGCTTGCGATGGGGCCCTCACCTCGGCCCCTCCCCATCACTCTCCCCCCATTTCTTTCGGGTTTTGGGGACCTTCTCCCACTCAGGGCGCTCAAGTTACGAAGCAGGAGCCAGGGCACGACATGCGTCGACCGGCAGGGATGCCATCAGATTTGAGAAGCTCCGGCACGACACGGCCAATGGAATGTCACATAAATGCAAGCTTGGGGTGTTGAGATCCACACGAAGCTCCATTTCGAGGTTTCCTAGCGCTCTTCAACCCCCTTGTCGCTCCACCCGTGGCTTTCGCTGAGTTGTGTCTAAACGATTCAGCAGCAAGACGGTCGGCTATCTTTCAGTCTGTTTTTCAACATGATGTAGAACTCAACCTCGGCTCACCTCTTGCCCGCCGAGCAACGTCTTTAGACGCACGTAGCCGCGTCTCTTGCGTTAAAGAGCTCACAGGCAACGCTGTGCCGTCGGGAGACACCAGCACATCCGGCAAGGGTCAGCAGTGATATATGCTTGTGAGACGGGACATGCGCTCATCCTCGGCTCACACACGTCGCCTGGCCCCTCCGACAATGGCATGGTCCCACAGCAACCTGCCAAGTTGTCTTCTGCTGCCGGGTACACCAGTCATGTCCCGGTGCTGCTGACCTCCCCAGATGTTGCGGGGGAGACGCTCTGCACCGGGACGGTTGTCGTCAAGTTGGAGAGGTTCCAGCCTCTTGAGCGATGCGGAGAAAACTCGCTGAGACGGACGACAGCCAACATGGATTTAGCCGGTACAGCATGTTGCCTGTGACCAACGAGTTTGGTCCTACGGATCCATCAGACCACCCGTATGCACCTCGACGGTCAGGCTAGCTTTGCGCCTGTCCAGAAATTCCGACTAGACGTCTGAAGAGGAAAAGATGTTGCAAGTCGAGCAGCGCGCCAATCGGCTGTGCGCGACGAGGTTCATGCCTGTATGCCTCCAGACTACGCTTGACATTCAAACACCACCGGCCTTTGGATGAACCACGCAGACGACATCCAATGCGAGTGAGTCTCTCTCCATTGCCCGATAAGTCAACCGTCCTTCATGCTATGTGCGAATTTCTGTTTCTGCTCCAGACCCGAGCCAGAGACAGCGGGATTCCCACATCGTGTATTTTACCTAAATCGGGAAAAATGCAGGAGAGCAAATGACATCATTGGCCAAAGACAGGCATGCCTCGCCGGGAAGCGTCCTATCGCGATGGCCTTCCCTGTCCCCGGAGTGGAGCGGGAGACGGCAATCCTGCGCACACCGCCGAGCTCGCGACATGTCTGGGTGGCTCACCACGCAGCAGAGTCGCGTCCAGCCTCGACGTTTTCCCATTGCCGGAAAGGGAGAAAGTGGCAGCTCGCGCTCTCACATGATCGGCCTTCGGTTCGCATTCCGCTACGGCCGGCTGGCGTTCCGACCGCTGCTGCGCCGATACCGCCGAGAATTTGGCTCGCATCTCGGTGATATCCCGGAGGTCTCCGGACTTTGGCACCCAACCTTTGATGTGCGGCTTTTGCATCGATGGAAGATTCAGGTGCGAAGCGTAAAGCGAAACCAAAGTTAAAACTCCAACGGGCCCGAAAGACTCAAGTTATCAAGACTGAGCATATCGGGAGAACCCGACTTTTAAATGAAGAGATGGCTTGTTCCGGGGGCACTCCACCATTGTTGGTGGAGGAGCCACGGAATGGGTCGGTCGAACGCGGAAAGATGCCGAGCCCTGTATGTGTGGCGTTCCGAAGCTGCCTGTCAGCCAAGAGATACCAAACATGGAGAAGCTCAATACGTTAGAATCTCTAATTATTGTGAATTGCTGCCTATTGTCCCTCTTGCTTGTTGACTCGGGGAACGCTAGCTACATCTCCCTCGCATATGAGAGCCTTCCGCGGCGAAGAAATCACAGGTAGAGGGCCTGTGGATGCAGCGTTTGTTGCCAAAGATCAGTTTCACGTTTGTCAAAGTCACCGTGTTTTCACTCCTTTTGCGGAAGTCTTCCTCTTCAACTGGAGCACAGGAGTTGGCAGATCAACTAGTATCTATCATCGATGACTACCATTTCCTCTGCCTGTCTTTATCCGCCCATCTTGTACCTCGTTCTCTGCATCAATTTTGCTTCTGCCAGGCTCCTGAGAAACTGTCAGGCAGAAGCTGGCTGTTTCCGAGGTTGACGTTCACCGCGCAGCAACGGCTGTGGCCCAAGACAGAGATTCGCCAAAGAGATCAGTCAGAGTCAGGCGGGCTAGGAACCTCATTCTTCGTTGTTCAGCTTCAGCTTCAGCTTGGAGGCGGTCGTGTATTTCCTGAATCCGGGCGTTGTGCATCTGGCTCATCGTCATGGTTGTCTTGCAGAACATTAGTTGGGTGACATGCAAAGTCGAGGTCATGCGTACACGCAATTTCTTGCTGGTCTCACGATCGATAGCACTCTGGTCGCCGCGAGCCCGCTCCAGAACAACCTTGGCGTCGGCAAGACCCTCCTTCAGCTGAGCTCGCTGACCAGCCGTGAGATCTTTGGTGAGGATAGCCTCGTAAATGTCCACGGACTAGGCTCCAGGAGACGACGGACTAGTTCAGAGATGTCCCTATATCCTTTAATGGAGACCGACAAAGCTAACACGTCCCTCGGAGTTGCTTCAAAGGACGATTACCACAAAGCTTGTAACCAATGCTACTGGCGGTCTCTTGGACTTTCTAAAAAGCTTTCCATTTTGCCTTCGCATCCTATTGTGAGGGCCTCTCTCTATCTTTCGTGCATGTTGCATTCTGTTCGAACAGGCCTTCGAACTGAGAGTGATCAGAGATGTCCCACCAACCCTGCGTCAGTCAGTCAGTCAGTCAAGAGGATCTGGAAATGAGAGATACTGTCGTTGGGCCCTAACGTCACCCTACAGGACGGTCATTCTTGCCGCAGACAACACGGCGAGCTTGAAGATTATTACTCGCGGAATGACAGAAAATGCCGCGCAACGCTCTGCAGACAACCGGTGACAGATCCGCATTGCGTCCCCTGAGTGGACAGGGTCGATACTGGATCTGGCAATCCATGGGTTCTGGGGACGACGCAGCCCACGGCCCCGGAAGGTCGATTGCAGTAGTTGGTTTTGCATTTTCAACATCAGGCAATGAACCAAGCCTATCGGTTACTTCTCACAAGTCCCGACCTGTCTCCCCTCTTGGCAAACTTGGCTCTGGGGTGCCACGGGCAGGCTTCGTCCTTCAAGATCATGCTTGTCGGGAACAACTGTCCAACGGCACTACCCCAGATGATGAGCATGATACAAGGAATAGGACAAGCTTGAGTTGACACGAGGTGGGCAGGTGGAATTCGGCAAACATGGCAAACTCTCCGTGCCGGAGGAGGAACGTCACACCCGCATCCGACCCGGCTCCGATGTGTACGTTGAAGGGAAGTTATCTGAGCAAACATGAGTGCATCACATTTAGCTAAAGGGGTGAATCACGGCAAAGGCTGACTGAGAATAAAAGAGGTCATACTGAAGACCACTTCGAGGGTTTCTTGCAGTGTTTTGTACACTTCGTTTACTATCACAGCGCCTTCAGCTTTGTGCAGCTCTGAACTCCTAAAATGCTTCTCATCACAGCTCTTATCAGCGCTTCATTCTTCCTACCAGCAGCGGCAGCACCAGGAGCCGAGCTTCTGCCCGCTTCCCAGATCACCGAACGCCAGGACGACGAGAAATGTGAGGAGGGACTCAAGCCGTGCATGAGGGGATGCATCGCCAAGACCGAGATATGTTGCGCCGACCCTGAGAGGGACGAGCCTTGGAGCTGCAAAGTGGGCGAGATTTGCGGCACCTCTCCTAAATTCGGTTGCTCGAAACCCAGAACGACCACGGCGTCTTTGACCCTTTCAGCCACTGCGACCTCCGCCTTGAGCCCCGGCGATCCCGACCTCGACCCGTCTCTCACTGTCTCAAGCCCGTTCTACCCAACGGAGACGACATCAAATGGGAGAAACGAGATGCCGGGATCGACCTCTGTGACTTCGTCACCAACCCGCCAGACGTGCTCCTTTGAGATGGCGGCGGTCGGACTGTACGCCAGCTCTAGTACCAACACACCGGAGGAGGGATGCCCGGGTGCTCTTACATCTGCTGCCGACTACGGCGCCTCGGGGGCGGCTGTCAGAGTCGAGTCCTTGTTCATTATGGCGGCGATGGGAGCTGCAGCAGTCGCATTGGTGGGTGGCCTGGCTTGAGTTGTGTAGTGTGGTAAGGACGGTACACGTCAGAGTGGAGGATGGAAAAGAAAGACATGACGGATTATGAAATTTGGAGAGTCTTGCTAGCCAGGCAGTATTAGTTGGCTATCCGGGCAGCGTCTACCACACGCGTGTAATCCGTATATCCTACCGAGACCCCCTAGTTTCCCTATGCTCAAGCGACTACGTTTCCTACATACTCACTTTGGTTGTCGCTATCGTCGCCGCTATCGTCATCACTATCGCTATCATTGCTGTTGTCCTTATTACTTCTAATCGCCTATGTTCTCGTCGTCGCCTACTGTTATCGTCTGTCGTCGTCTACCGTCGTCTACCATCGTCGTTATTACTAATGGATCCCTTCCACTACCTTCCAAGTTGCCTCCATTCTATGGCGTAGCCACTGCATCCGCCGCGGTCCTTCTGTTATGAGAAGTTGACCGGAAGAGAAGCCGCTTGGTTAAGTGCAGCTCGAGGTTATTGCCTCGCCGAAAGCGACAAGGAGGGGGGATTAAAAATGATACGGGGTAGGAGGGTGACGGGATCGACCGTGAAGGTCGGGTTGAAGCGCATTTCGAGAGGTACTTGCCCTCGGCCACGACTTAAACCCAGCCAACGGGCAAGTGCTTCACAGTCTCAACTTCCATCATGCAGGCGTGACCAGTCGTTGTGTTTGCCTTCCACCGCCCGAAGCGTCCTCGGAGGTCTTCCTTATAAGCCCATGTTAACGTCAGTCATCTGCTCATCTTCCCATCTTCATCCCGACAACTTCTTGGCTACATCAATTCCAGTACAAGATGTAACGTCCCACCATACCGGCATTGCAGGCAGGCATAGCAAACGCATAAAACATGGCCAACCAACCTCCAAGGCTCCGAAGTGGTATCATGCACAGAGTCCACCCTAACCAAGTCCCGACGACGAATTACGGAAGAGCTGATTACAGTTGGGAAGACATCGAACAGTGTGAGTTTCCACATCCCGACGTCGTCAACAGATGCTTACCAGGCATACAGGGGCGGCCGCATTGCATTTTCACCACTCCAGTTTTCGACAAGAAGCGAGAAACCTGGCCGTTGATCTTATCCAAGCCTGCACCGATGTTTTGCAGCGCGGCGTGTCCGACAACATGAGCCGAGCTCGCGCCCAAGCATTGCAAGTCAAAGCCAGCGAATTCTTGCGACGACTGAATCGCAACGAAGGGTGGATGGCGCAAGAGAAGCAGCAAGCTATGTGAGCGTTGCCCTCTGCAGTGAATCTTATACGTACTAATGATTTCAGCAACACTGGCATGCCACCCGCCTATATGACAATGAGCGCGAAGCACAAAGCAAAGATAGAAATCAACTATCTTCATCGAGTCATTCAAGCGGACCAGGCTTACCTTGCTTCGGGAGGCCCTGGAGTCATCGGTGTCAATACAGGTCTTCAAGGTCCGCAAGGTCCGCAAGGTCTCCAAGGCCCCAAAGGACGCAGAGGCCGCAGAGGACGCCCAGGCAGAGACCTCACAGACCCCAGAGGTCCTGGGGGCGGGAACGATGAAAACCCTGGAGACGATGGAGGCAACGGAGGCAATGGTGGAGGTGGCGGTCACGATGAAGGCAACGACGACGCCAACGACAACGTCAATGACGGGGGCAACGACGACGATGGCAACGACGAGGGCGACGACGAGGACGACGATGGAGGCAATGATGGGGGCGATGATGAGGGCTCCGGAGACGATAGAGACGATGGAGGCGATGGAGGCAATGGAGGCAACGGTGTCAGTGGTGGGGGCAACACCACAAGCAAAGCCTACGGCGAGGCCACACCCAAAGCCAAAGGAAGCACCACAGCCACAAGACTCACCAGAAGCGCCACCAGAAACGACACCAGAAACAACCCCCAGGGGCCCAACAAACGGCGGAGGCTTGTTGGACACTTCAGCAGCGAGAGCGACGTCGATTTTCTCCCTAGACTGTCAACAGGCAACCAAAAACAGTCGTCGTCAAGTGTCTTGAGAGACAACTCCGTGCCGGCGATGGATACGCAGGATTTGGACCTGATGATTCAGAATGCGATGTTGTCTGACCAACCGGATTTCAACATGTTCGATGGCGGTCAACCCGTACCCACCACCATGGTGGGAAAACTATGATGGAATCATCTCTTTGGGCTTGAAGAGTAATAGGTGCTGTTGAGAGGGAGCCGATGCAATCGTCTGCACGGCATGACATAGATATCAGACAGAACGCTTCGGCAGAGACCGGCAGGATCAGAACAGAACCAGGGACGCAGTACGACGTCCCCGTGCTGGTATTAGAACGTATAAATAAAAACAACGAACCGACTCGAATTGTCTTCATATTTTCCCCGCCTCTGGCCCTCTGATCGCCTCGTGAAATTTGTCTGCGCGACACCTTCATACGACAGTCCGTCCAAGACGCTTGTGACGAGTGAAAACGGCCGTTGAGTGTGCCTTCTCGCTCTGCCTACGCCGTCCCAAAAAGCAGAAACGCCGACAGTTCAAGGTGAGCGTGAGGCTTCGGAGTCACACCTGGTGTGTTCATTGCTCGCAAACGTACAACATACTACAATGCGTAGGTCTACCCAACCCAGCGGGGCTTGTATTATAAATCATGAGGGGGCGTTAGGCATGGGGGTGTTGGAGAGCTTGTTCAACAGCGTCCAAGGGTCGAGGCCAGACCTCTATGACTCTTGATTGACGGTTTGCTACGAGGAGTTAGTCCATATCGGGCGAAAGAGCACCCGTGGTTATATCAACCACGGCGGTGCTGAGGGGTGACAACGTACGACAAGCCAATCCATGCCCTCTGTCACACCGCTGCCATCGACGGCTGAGCATGCCATGATGCTCCAGTTGCGGTCGCGCAGCTCGCCCAGTCGCAGGGCCTCCGAGATCTCGCCCGCACCCTTGGCGCCTGGCTGGTCCTGCTTGTTGGCAAACACGAGCAGGGCCGCGTCCTTGAGCTCCTCCTCGTTGAGCATGGCGCCCAGCTCCTCAGCGGCGGTCTGCAGACGCTCGATATCGGTCGAGTCGACGACGAAGATGACGGCGGCCGTGTTGGCGTAGTAACACCGCCAGTACGGACGAATGCTAGTCTGACCGCCTAGATCCTACAGGCGCACGCATGCCATGTCAGCCTCGACGTTCGGTCTGTGCCAGAAATTCAAAGGGTTCCTCTCGCATACCCAGACGTTGAAATTGAGGTTCTTATATGTGACGGACTCGACGTTGAATCCTATCGTGGGGATCGTGGTGACCACCTCGCCAATCTAAACAAGCATAAAGTTAGTGCCGAGCTTCTTTCCCCATGCGCGCGCGCATGTGAATGGGCTGTCATGAGCTCACCTTCAGCCTGTACAACAGTGTCGTCTTCCCTGCGTTATCCTGTGCAAGTCGTCCGCGGTTTGTCAGCCTTGCATCTCTTGCGTTTCGGAGGTCGCTGGCTCCAGGGGTGCCGAGCAGCATCAGCAGCGGCGCGGGTGCGGTGCATGCATACCAAGCCCAGGATCAATATCCGGATCTCCTTCTTCGACCACAAGAGGCCGGACAGCCATGACATGCTCGCGCCCATCTTGACGGTTTGTTGGATGTGTGTGTGTCGTTACTTCGTCGGTTGCTGGGGTTGATGTTGCGTTTCGCCGCTGCGACTGCAGAATGTCGCAGTCTTCAAAAAGGTGCGCGGTTGGCCTCGGGTCGTGGTAGGAGAGGTAGGTAGGTAGGCAAGGCGAGGCTTGACAAGCTAAAAGGTGGCTTGTTTCTTCCGATCCAGGGGGGCGACAAGTAACAAGACGGTCGTCCGGGTTATGTACAAAGAAGCAGGAAACAACGACAACCTGAAAGGACAACTCAGGCACACACACTCCCTCTTCCGGTTTGGTTTCGGCGTCCGTCGTTCGTTTCGTCGTCTCGTCAAGTAAAAGGCAGCAAAAACTTGTTTCTGGTTTCTTTGCAACTCCGCGGCTTTGAGAGGTGGGAGACAAAGGACCGTTGCAAAAGAATCTCGATGGCCCCTGAAGGTACGGAAAGGGCCCCCTAATTGACAGTTTTCAAGACATGCCCTGCATGGATGGTTAATTCTGGGCGTTCCAACGGGTCCGCGGGCCTGCCACTTCTGGGATCGTCGGCCGCTCGAGCCTATCGGCACGTCAGGGATTATCACATAAGCCGAATTCTGTTGACGTTGCTGCCTGAGGCAAGAAGAATTGACCTTGCACCTGTCGAGAAAGCGTCACTGCAATCCTTATCTAATCGAGCTGCAGCCGCTGAGGCTGAGGCGCGCACGCAAGCCTCAAGTCGTGCAGTGACTCCTTCCGAAAAAGCGTGACCGTCTCCACCCGCTGCCCTCCCCGCCAATCAGGGTATTTGCGGGCTCGCCTAACCTAGTGCCTTCTCACACAGAATTTATGATTTTTCGAACCATCAAACCCATCGGAGAACCAACTGCACCCAAAGGACTCGACTACCTTGATCAGCCAACAGCCGTCAAAATGCCGGTATGTGATGACGCCTATTCTCTCCCCGCGACGACGACGATGATGATATTGTGCCCGATCGATTTCACCGGAGAAATGCGTGGTTCGCGCAGGTCGCGGGCGCGCGGCGCTGGCGGACGGATCGAGGAGGGGCAAATATCATCACCACGACCTGGGGGTTCTCAAACACCACGGAGGGAAGCAGAGCGCTGACATTTGGGAACCATCACAGAGCCACAAGTCTTTCCGCACGAAGCAGAAGCTCGCCAAGGCGCAGAAGCAGAACCGCCCTATCCCCCAATGGATCCGTCTCCGCACTGGTAACACCATTCGGTACGATACACCCTCTGCTGCCGTCTCTGGGGTCGACACGACGAGATCCTAGGGCGCGCGCGCGCTCCCCCGACACGACGCAACCGATCTTTACTGACACTGATTCCTACAGCTACAACGCGAAGAGACGCCACTGGCGCAAGACCCGCCTCGGCATCTAAACACCTCGCACCAAATCTCGATTTCCCAAAAATCCGAACCAGTGTGTCTCATCTCGATGGCACCGCCGACCGACATGGAACTTCTACTTGGAATTTCTGGGAGGAGTTAAGACGACTCTAAATTTCATCGGCAAGAGTCTGATCGTGGGAGTCTTCGGGGTGGAAAATTATGGAGGGAAAATGGATGCCCGGCTCCGGCTAGACACCACGCATTGCATGTTACGGTCATAGGGAAAGGAATGCCAAATCATTTGATGCCTCTGAATGAAGATAACGAGGTCCCACGCCTGCTTCTCCCGCTTCATGGTGTCTGTCGTGTGATGTGGGCTGGGGCAAATTGGCCTCAGAGTCTTTTAAGGTCCCCTGCCTTCATGGGCTTGCTTGGCCATCAGCTTTGGACAGGCTCGGCCCTTCTACACGATAGCACATCTATCATGGGCGACCAACACGGTTCAAAGTGGCCCAACTAAGGTCCGTAGATCTAGGCCTGTATAGATTCTATAGATGTCAATTGGGCCTCTCTACCTTGGCTGTGTCGTAGCCACAATGGTGCCGTAGGAAGGCGTGAGCTTCGTTGGTATGTAGATGGCCGGATGGTACTCTCAACGGCGACCCACTATCCACTTGCCCATTTCTTCTTGTGCCGATGCCAAAATAGAGACGTCACAATGTGATGAATCTCTCTGCTGTCGTGAAATCTAGCAGTCAGGTTCGTTCCTCAATCTGAACATCTGTAGGATTTAATGACCGCTGAGCAGCAATATGTGGCTGTTCTATGGTACCCGTCTCATTGCGAGAACTCTTAAAATGGTGAGGCACACACGAGCAGCGATCCAGACACAGTGGTCCATGGAAAAGCCACACTTTTCCACACGGGTACATCCATCATTTCACAGATGAGTCAATAGCAATGGTGAGGAGACGGTCTGCCTTGAAATGCTAGCGGTGAAGCAAACTTAAAAGACAACCCACACTACCTTGCGGTCTTCGAATGCGCACTGCGGTGAGTCCTTCCTTCACCAATTCCCGCCCTAAGCAAACCGTGACCCTTGGGTGCCCTTGGAATCGTCGAAAACGCCAGAAAACGATGCATAACACATAAATGGCGGGCACGGGATATCCTATCTAGATGATCCCACCGCTCCCAGGATTTGCTTAACGGTCCTCGGCCCACTCGTTCTCGCGACGGATCTGCTCCTCCTCCTCGGGGGTGAAGTCGTTGGTGATGTTGAAGGTCTTGCGGATCTCCTCGGGGGACTTGCCCTTGATCATGTTGGCGACGGTCTTGCAGCCAACGTCAAGGAGGGGCTTGATGTCGAGGTAGTTGGAGGCCTGGGAAAAGGTTAGCATTAGCTGGGAAGGATCAGGAAAGGGTATCACATACGAGGATGATCTCAAAGAGCATCTCCTGGTCAACCTGCATGAACTTCTGGTCCCACTCCTCGATCTCGGTCGTCTTCTTGCGAGCGTCGTTCTCCTCATCGGCGTTGACGGGGGGGTCGTTGCGGTGGTGCTCACACCACTCGATGACCTTTCTCAGGACGGCCTCGTTGACGTTGGGAATGGGAATGGGGTTCTCCTGGCTGATGGCATCATCACCGACGTCCTCAAGCATGTTCTTGATGAGCATGGAGCGCTCAGCAACAACGCGGTCTAGAACCAAACGGTTAGCGGGATGCGACAACGGAGGAAGGAGCACGCCTTAGAGAGGAAAAGATGTGACGTACCGACTGGGAGGGTGATGCTGTCGTTGGACTGCACCCAGATCTTCTGCTCCTTCTTTTCGGTGGCCATCTTGATTGATGTATGTGTGTCTGCGAGTAATCTCGACGATGTCAGTTGGTTGAAGCAGAGAAATGCGTGCGAAGCTGTATTGTAGCGAGGTGGGGTTGATGAGGGAAGTGTGAGGATTTGGATTGATCGACGAAGACGGAAAGCAATGCAGTAGATATACCTACAGAAAGCTAATCGGAGAAAGAAACTGGAGTGGGCGCGACAGAGAGGTGGTTTGGACGAAGTGGTGTTGGTAGCAAACAATGGCGGCGACGGGTTGCGGATGGAGATGCTTGTGTGCTGATTCACAGTCTGACGTTGGTCGGCAAGGTATTGGGGGGCAAAGCGGTTGGTACGGTAGGTACCTTCTCTTTGTGGGGACAGCACACAGGAAGGGTCGGAGGGGCGCGTAGTTGCCTTCAGAATCGTAGGGTACCCGAGCAAGAAAGGAGGCTGCCCGGCTTCTCATTGGCTGGGGTAACATATTTGCGGGCCGGAACCGCTCTGATGCCTGGAGCAGCAAGGTGAATGGCGCCTTGTCCACGACGAACCTTTATTCGGCCCAGCACTGAGGCCTCAAAGGAGCCCGCTACGCCGCAGCATCTGGAGGCAGGAATCCCTGAGGGGGAAAGGCCGCTCTGTCTTTGCATTCACCTCAAGCAAGGGTTTTCAGGCAGAAGCCTTGCTAGCACTTTTACCCTGTGAGTCCTCCCCGACCGCAGATACCTCTACGCACTGCAATGTCCAGCCATTGCAGCCTGACGGCCACAGATCGGCGGGGCTGTCATGGTCATCTTTCCTGATCTCTATCGTCGTCAGGTTCGAAGGGTACACTGTAGCTGGCCTTCCCTATTTGAGTTCTGCTTGGGGTTGGAAAATGGTCTTCAATATGTCCACACCGGCGTGGATGCGGCATGGCTTCATTATGTCATGCATCTCACCTGAGCCTTCCAGGTACAAATGCTCCAGAGAACTTTCGGGTTAAGCCACATCGAATGCTGTCAGCCACATCCGATGTCGATGAGCACCAGCCACGATATCCACCGAAAGCCGATTTGCATTGAGAGAGGGCTCGGAGAAGATGCATCTAGACCACCCAAGGTGCTAATTCTGCAGATTGGAGATGGTGCTACATCTTCCAGCGTTCAATGATCTCTTCTAGTCGTGCGGCTTGAACTCGGTGCCATCTCCAGTCTACTGATGTTCCGTTAGGTTTGCGGTGGATGGGGACCTGGACGCCTTCCAGTCGCCAAGTGTGACTCAGAAAGTGTAAAGATGTTGGCTTGATGTAAGAACAAACCTCCATACCTTGCTACAAATCTGCGTACCCCCCATTTCCGAGTTCTGGAAATAGGAAATGTGGTTAAACAGCGTTGCACTCTCGGACGGAGAGACGGGATCGGGACGGCGGGTCCGGAGCTGCGTTCGGGCCGTAGTAGTAAAGCTCCGCCCCAACAGAGTCGGTATGAGCAGAGGTCCTTCTTGCGCCCAAGTTGATCATGAATTATTTAATACTTCACCCTGAGCGGTGAATGCAAGCCTCACCGCCAGGCCCGCGTCAGACTCACCGCCCGAATAAGCGCAGAGTCTCTGCAAAGGCAGATCATTACGTGCAGGACCCATGGTTCGGTGCCGATGCAAGAATCAGACGGAGATCTGTAGAAAGACGATGAAGTCGAAGCTGGCGGAGTTTGAAGGCGAAAGCGAGCTGCAGGCACTTAAGAGGCCTGTCAACTCCACGACCCCACGGCGTGGGCAGGGAGGCGCTGGCCCTGCAAACCACATTCCGACGGCGAGACATTGTGTGCTGCTTGTTGCATCATTACCGATCCTCAACTCCTGTCCAATAGTGTCCTGATAGGAGGCCCGTTTCCAGGGTCGCGCAAACAACCGTAGGCGGCGTGCCTCTGTCCGTGGCACCGAGATGATAACACATAGCGCTTCGGACTATGACAAGGCCCGAGGAGCCGGAATTGATACCCGCAGAGACTAAGGATGTTATTATGTCTGTTCGTCTGATATCAGACTCTCTGGGACAATCGGACAAGGCTGGTCTTGGTTTGGTGCGCGTGTTGCTCGAGAGACAAGCGACCCCAAGAAACAAAGCGAGTCCCTGGCTGATGGGGGAGCAACCGTGATGCGCAATGCATAATGACAACAAGACAATGAGATGGCAGTGGTTCGAGAAAGCTGCTGACTGGATCGAACGTATTTGGTTGGCCTCGCAAGGGAAAGGGGGTCCCTTGACGTTGGGAGAGGAGGGAGAGCATCAACAACGACTGGACTGGAAGACCGGGGAAGAAGAAGAAGGAGCCACCGACATCCACAGCCAGCAGTGAGTCCAAGTCCCAGACTCCCAGCTGCAGTTGCTCGCTGGTGGCATTCCAGGCTCCGCCTTACCCGTTCGGGGATTAGTGCTTCCAGAAGGAGCCCCGGCGAAGCAACATTGGCAGGGTTCTGCATTGCAACAGGGGCCATCGGAGGGCACACTTCCCAAAGTCTCACTTTTTGCCAGCAACCACGTCGCGTCACGCTGCACCGTGGGACGGCACTGCTGGGTTCGCTGGGTTCGCTGGGCTGGCGACCCCTGTGAGCCGTCGAATAAGCATTTCCTCGAGCAGCCAACTGCCAGCTTGGATACAGGACACGCAGCGAAGCCCTCCTTGCTAAAATGACAATCCGCGACCTCGACACCCACTTTCTCTACCTAAGTCAACCTCACCCGACCTGTCGACTGCCAGGTGGTCCGTCACTAGCTCTGGTGATTCGAGAAGCATCATCAAACGGCAGGAGCCAGGGCCATGTGCCTCCCACCTTAATCAGAGATTGCGGATCCCTTGCAATAGAACAAAATCACCATCCCGGCGTGGGCCACCTATCAGTCATCCCGTCCCGTCCGAACCTTGCCCTTAGCATCCACCCACCACCTATTCGCACCGCACCCAAGGAGCGCCTAAGGAGGGCCCTCCGTGCAGCTGCGACTGAGAGCTGCTCCAAAATATCCTGACCATCACCCTACGCAATAGCCTGTGCCTTGTTCTACCTTACCCGTTTCTTCTTTTCTTTCCTCTCTTCCCTCCCTCACCTTCACCTCGCTTGCTTCACCTTACCTATCTCGCCCTAATCTTCCAAGCTTCTCTTCTTGCTTGTCTTTCTCCATCCTACTTCTTGCTCATTCTCGAATCCTCCTGGCCCCGGGCGAACAGTCGCATACTTGTTCAATACATGCCCCCTCCCCCTCGATAATGCTACTTTGCGACCACTCCTGTTCCACCCAAACGATCCCTCGACCTTGCCCGGGCTAATCCTGCGACCTACTTGCAAGCTTTTGCATCGGACAACGAACCGAATCCCCAGCTGCAGGCCGCCCTGCGACGACCATATAATCAAGAGCAAAAGCCATGTGGCGGCGGTTATACCTGTTCCTCGTCCTGGTCCGGCTGTGGTTTGCGCTGTCCCCCAGCTATCTACACCCGGACGAGAACTTCCAAGGCCCCGAGGTCATCGCTGGTATGTTGATCGACTTGGTCGCTGCCGCAACCCGCGTCGTTTGCGCCGGGCGCGCGCAGCTCTTTGCTGCGCCTTGGAGCTCCCCCCGAGCTCCCGGGAGCTCGCATGGACTTTCGCGCTCGTTCTCGCTTTTTGGAGTACCTGAGCTAACGCGTGGCGCAGGCCAAATCTTTAGCTACCCCGTTCGACACACATGGGAATTCACAAACGAACACCCGATCCGGAGCGTTTTCCCGTTATGGCCCGTTTACGGCTTGCCCATGCTGCTCCTCCGATGGCTATGGATCGGTAACGGCCACGACGGAGAGATCCCTCCGATCGCCGTCTTCTGGACCCTGCGCGTCCTCATGTTCGTCACCAGCTTTGTCTTGGAGGACTGGGCCATCCACGAGCTCATCAGCTCCCCGCGCCACCGACGCGTCGCTGTGCTCCTCGTAGCCTCATCATATGTGACATGGACTTACCAAACCCACACTTTTTCGAACTCGGTGGAGTGTTTGGTGGTCGCATGGTGCTTGGTTTTGATTCAGCGCATTGTTGAAAGCCCAGTGAGCTGCCCTCAACCCTTGAGTCTGACGGGATGTTAACGTTTGTGACAGCAACAATCGTCGCTTCTTGCTTCCACAATCCTTGGGATCGTGGCTGTCTTTGGATTGTTTAATAGAATTACTTTCCCGGCCTTTTTGCTGATTCCGGGACTTCGTTTGATACCCCATTTTGTCAATAGGTAAGAGGCATTGATTCACGCCACAGCGAACAGCACTGACAACCTCATAGACCTCTCTCCCTTACCGCCATGGTGTTAGCTGCACTCACCACCACCCTCGTTGCCATCACCCTAGACACGGCATTCTACCTTCCCGAGCCCATCAAGTGGGCAGATCTAATTTCACGCCCCGTCATCACGCCACTCAACAACCTCATGTACAACATCAACCCCGACAACCTGGCTCAGCATGGACTGCACCCCTGGTACCAACACCTCCTGGTCAATATCCCCATGTTGATCGGGCCTGCTGCTTTGCTGTTGTTCACGCAGCCGCTTGTCTCATTGCGGCTCTACTCGGCCATTTCCGGCGTCTTTGTATTGTCTATCTTCCAGCACCAGGAAGCCCGTTTCCTGCTGCCAACAGTTCCACTGATCCTGTCGTCGGTCAATGTGCCAAAGAGCCGCACCGTTCTTCGAGCCTGGATTGCTACCTGGATTGGCTTCAACCTGGTCTTTGGCATCCTCATGGGCGTTTACCACCAAGGAGGAATCGTGCCTGGACAGGTGTTCCTTAGCAAGCAGCCCGACGCGACCCAGGCCGTTTGGTGGAAGACGTACACCCCGCCAATCTGGCTTCTCAACGGCAAGAACGAAGTCCTCACCACCCGAGATGTCATGGGCATGAAGGGCGAGGCCCTTTTGAAGGAGCTGGACAGCCTTGCGACGTGCGACACGCCCGCAGACAGACGCAATTCGGAGTATTTGAAGGAGAAGAACGGCACCTACCTCATTGCACCTGCTTCAGCAACGTGGATAGACCCCTATCTGTCCAACAAGGGCCTGAAGGGTTTACGATTCCGCGAGGTGTGGAGGTACAGACAACACCTAAACTTGGACGACCTCGATTTCGGCGATGACGGTGTATGGAACACACTCACGAGAGTGATTGGTCGGCGTGGCCTCGTCGCATGGCGTGTGACGAAGAGCTGCAAGTGAGGAGGAGGATCAAAAGGACGGCTTGATGACAGCGAATGAAAAATTGACGTTTGATGACATTTTATGAGCGCCTAAATGGAAGTGGTATCACACATGCCCCTGACATCGCCAATATGGTCGTATCCCAAAACGCCTGAACTCCATCTCGATGCCCTCGTCCTGACGGCCAACGGTTACCGTCAAGCCCACCTTGCATTGTTGAGAGACAGTCTCGCCTCTCCTGCTGTGCCACCCACCATTTGCGTGGACACGTAGGGGGCATCTCGCCTTTTGTTTTTTTTTGTCATCGTCTCCTCACGGTAATGAAGACGCGTCAGTGCCGTTGAGATCGACCGCAAATAACCAGTTCCCGGAAACGTTGGGCTTCCCCAGGCGGCTCTTCATCCAGCATACGTGATTACCGTAGTAGTCGCCCCAGCCGGCCCCGACGCACTCCGTCCGGTTGGCACACCGGTCGATGCAGTTGGCCATGGTCGTCGCGTTCTCCGCCGTCAGGTCGATGGCGCCGTCTGCGCTGTTGTAGTCGTGGCCACAAATCAGCCTGAACTGGCGGTCCGGCTCATCCTGCGCGGAAAAGGTCGAGTTGTCCGACGCCGGACAGGTGATATTTGCCGTTTTTGTTGACTCCACACCTGTCGGAAGGTTGCTACAAGCTAATATCAGTATCTTGGCGATGTAAAGGAGGCACCGTCAAACTCACCCTGAACCGGAGCCGCCGGACTGACCGCTTGATTTCCGCCCGAACGCCAAGCCGGCCCCGAGACCGATGGCGATGGCCGCGATGGCGAAGACGATCGCAACCGCCATCGCGATGTAAAACACCTTGCGCCGCATCCCGCACACCCTCGGCCCCATACCGAGCCCGTCGACGGAGGATGCCTTCTTGGACGACGGCCGGTGGTACCCCGGCGGGTGTTGCTGGTAGTACGCGTGCGTCGAGTCCTGGCTGCCGCCGTAGAGCGTGCTGCTGTACCCGCCGGGGCTCATCACCGACGACGCGTCCGGCGAAGATGCCGGCGCCGCCGCCACCTCGAGACCTGGGTTCTTCTTCAAGTGGTAGTGATGCCATGACGCCGGGTCGTTGGCGACCTGCGGTGTCGACAACGTCTTGGCGTCTAGGTGGTTGTGCGGCGCGACCTCCGGCAAGGGGACGTCGTTGGGGTTCCACGGGAGAGGCTGGACGACTTCAAGCCCTGATTCGTATTCTTGCGGGGGCAGACGTTGCTGCTGCTGCTTCTGGTGGTCCTGAAGCGAGTTCGAGTCTTCGGACTTCGGTTTGAAGATGCCCATGACCTTCTCTTTTACCGAGGGACGGGACTTTAGGTTCTCCTCTCCATTTTCCATGACTGCTTGGTCCCAAAGGACTCTTTCTGGTCTCCTAACAGGCACTTTCTCTCGCGAAGGATCCGCCCCAGATCAGACAAGAATCAATCCTCCTCCTGTTCGCTCTCCTGAGTAAGGTTGGTCCGGCAGATGCGAGGGACGGGGAAACGGAAACGGGGCCAGACTTTACTTCCTGCCAAGCGACACAGATGTAGGGAAGGAGCCGAAGTGTGAATGAAGTAAGTGGGTGTCGGCTAGTACTCTTTTCTTCCTTTTTTAGTGTTGAAGCAGACAACAGCACCCCTCAAATCTGGGGAGGGGACGGGTACGGCAGTGGGAAAAGAGAAGCCACTAAGCAGTAAACGAAAGAGTTTTTGACAGGGGGACGGAGCTTATGAGCACCTGCATGACGGATATTGAAATTGAGCTTGTAGGGGAGGGGGGCAGAAGAGAAAAAAGTAAGAAGCGAAGAAACACGACGGAGGAGCGAGCAAGCTAGTGTTTGTTAATACGACATTTTGGTGTTAAGTCTGTCAGCTCCCAGGGGGGTCGCGCCTCATTCGGGATAGCTTGGCGTCGGGGGGAGGGAAAAAGCACCAGCCAGCGCTATTAGGCAATGATACTGTAAAAGGGTATCCCCTCTTAAAACACGGGGGAGGCAGTGATCGCCACCACTATATGACTTTTTGCCTTGAGAATGAGTGAGGTTGTGCCGCAGATGTGCATGTTCCGTCTCTCGTATCTTGCTTCTTCTGGAACACTGGGCGAGAGGTTTCATTGCAGCACCCACCTTGCAGACAACCCGGGACGCCGAGCAAGTGAAGTGATTGTCTCTTCATTCCCTCATGAGAGAGGGCTCCAGTGCTAGTTCTCACACAGCCCGTGGTCGAGTGTGCTGTTCATCTTCTTTCCTGTCTGCCTTACTGAGCTAGCATCCATAACCCCAAACCTTGTAAGGTTCCCCCACGGACCAGCCAGCGGCAGGGGGGTTAGTTAGGCCTGAGAACCGCCAATGCTGGGGGAAACGGGCCGTAGAAACAACAGCCTACTCCTCGAGAAACGAAGGCAGAAAACCCGCCGACTTCATATTCCTCCGTGTCCTTTGGAGTGGTGAGAAGCTTCTCGTGCCTCTATCCCCCTTCCCAGATTAGACAGGTCAGCGTTGCGACAATAGTGGAGAGCTGCATCTTAGCGAGGACGGCGATAAGTTGAAGAAGAGGTTCCCGAAAGCCCCGCGACCTTCCCAGGATGCAAGGGGTGCTTCATTCGACCAATGAGGTGTCTGGTGTGGCTCTGAACCAAGGATGGGCGGTTGGCTTGGGGCTTGGGTTGTGAGCTTGACTTGACTCTGGGTGTCGTGCGGTGGCACTGGAAAGCCATGCGTGTCAGCAGTGAGCCGTCCCAGCCGCCGCAAGAGGTGGCGCTTTTCGAGTCGACAATGTTGCCAGACATTAGAATGGCGCGCCGTTGGCTGGTTCAGACTGGCATGATGTTGGCCAGGGTCTCATCGGTGGTGATCGCTTGGCGGTACGGTCTTTTTGATGATGGGCCTAGACCCGCCGTTTACTTTGACCTCGAGGAGCTTCGTTGAAGCAGAACCGCCAGCTGCTGTCCAGGCCGATGATAGGGGTCTGAGATTAAAGACCGTGGGGTCTCTTCTAAGCGTGAGTAAGTCTCTTGTTTAGCCAACCCAAAATCATCGGCCCAAGTCAGCCCTAAAAGGCAAACTTGGCAATGTGCCCCGGAGACATTTGCCTGCCGGCAGAGCTAGAAAAGCACTGCCGTCCGGCTGGACCAGCCGTCGAGTAGCCCAAACGGGATCTCGACGTATCTACTAATCACTCCGGTTTCTCGAGGGAGACCATACAATGGCCCTCACCAGCGTATCAGGCACAGGAGGCGGTCCAGGTCCGGCTTCGGCCCAACACTGGAAGCCGGCCTTGAGAACCGTGCGAGACTGGACAGACTCGGTATGATCTACGCCATCATCGACAAGCTAGTACTCTTCAAAGTGGATGAGTTCGCACATTTGTCCTCTTTCGGTGAGGGCACATTGGACGAATTTTGACGTCTAGGGGCATTTCCGAATAAGTTCCTGGTGGCATTGAGAACTCATTAAAACGACCTGCGAGGCGTTATTTGACCAGCTCATTCTTCGGCAGATCTCAGCAACAAGCTCCCAATTACTGCCAAGTTGAGCTCAATCTGTCTGCGAACTTCAACGAAACCTCGTCCTGGATGATGGCCTGGGCTGGGTTCCCGTCCCTCACGTAAATCACATCAGGCGCCCATTTGGGTGATGTCTCAATGCTTAGTGACTGGTCGGACGCAGAAGAATTCTGCAAAGTACAGAGCTCAAGACATTCAAATGCTTGGTGCTCGAAGAATCCCAGCCCGCTTGGAATTGAGAGAACAGAGCCGTGAACGTTTAATCAAGTGTATTGGATTTAAGCTACTGCTTGCCCATGACGCAAGCACCTCGACCAATTTGATAGGAATTCGTCAATATCGCGTTGGCGTTCTGACCCGTTGCCGTGAGGACCAGTGACAGTAAAGATTCTCAGGAGCCACAAGGCCACCATAGCGTAATCCTGTGAGGCTTAAAACACAGCCAACATAACACATTTCTTCGCATGCTCACAGAGACAGAGCCGCGGCAAGGGAATTCCTCATCAACGTGGGACACACGTCAATTTGCCTATCCACTCCTACCTCTCTTACGCAACCTGATTGTGACAAGACAAGCACAGTAGCGAAAGACCAGAGCCAGAGAAGCGCGAGAATACGTCACGATAACCAAATCTGATCTCAAAGAGTCCAATTAAATAAACTCTATACAGCCCGTACCGGCCACTGAAGCTTTGTAAGTCTACTATAATCCCACAAGCCGCCCGCACCCGCTGAATAACTTTTGCAGTCGCTTTCGTCAGGGGTTTTTGGATAATGTAACGTGCCAGCCCCTAAACATACAAGTCTTTTCTCGCTGTCGCTCGCTCTCGTCCCGTCCCGGGGGCCTGCGGCACGAGAGATAACTGACGGGGAGGGAGCCGGACCGCTGGAATGCATCCCACCAAGCCACAGTAAGCCAGACTTCACCTACTGATGGTCGGCACGGTTGTTCTCTCTTCTCCTCTTGCTATTGCGCGTCATGTGACTGCGCAGGCTATTGAGGATCCTCTTGACCGCATCGTCCGCTTGCTTCCGACCCTTCTCCCCCGTCGCGGCTTGGTTCTGCTGCTAACGGAAGCGGGAGCCTTCCCTCTCGGCCTCCATCCTCTGCATACGCTCTTCCTCGTCGTCCATACTGATGGCCTCACTACGCCGTCCCTTCCGGCGACTTCGCTTCCCGTCATCGCCGCCCCCGTCGTCTCTGCTGCGCTTAATGCCCGCAAGACCAGCAAGGCCCGCCATACGTTGCGTCTCTTTGAGCAGACGCTCACGGTCTCTCGCTTCGCGTTCGAGGGCGTGCGGGTCCTTGGTGGCTGCAGGCGCAGACTTGCTGTTGACGGACGCTTGTGAACCCCGTCTGCCAGAGTCTTGTCGTTCCGACGACTTGCCAGGCTTCGAGCTTGCCCCCCTAATTTCGAGCCCCGAAGCGTTGCCGCGTGGCCCGGCGGGCGGGTTGAAATCCTTCTCTAAAGGCGATGGCTCCGGCGAGTGCTTGCGGCTGCCGCGGTGCCGATGGTCGCGATCCCTGTGCTTGTCACGCTTGCGGTCCTTCTCGCGGTCCCTATCGCGATCCCGGTTCTTGCGGTCCCGGTCATAATCACGGTCCCTGTCGCGATCTCTGTCCCGATGGGAGCGGTGACTCGACTTCCGATGGCGGTCGTAGTCGTCGTCCCGATTCTTGTCCTTCTCGCGGTCTCGCCGTTTCTCGTCACGGTCCCTATGGCTTCGGTGACTGGATCTCTTTGAGTCGCTAGGGGAGGCAGACCTTGATCTCTCCTCGTACCCATCATCTCTAGAACGGGACTTGGTGTCATCCTCGTCGCCGTACGCGTTGTGCTTCCTGCTCTTGTGCTTCTTGCGACGGTACTCATCGTCTCGTTCACCGCGGTCACGATCTCCGGCCACGGATCTGGACTCGGAGCGCCTGCGTCTACGCCTATGGCGGTCACGGTCGCGGTCGCGGTCGCGGTCGCGATCACGATCACTGCGATCGCTCTTGCGTTCTCTGCTAGGTTCCCTGGTGCGTGAGCGTGATCTAGAGTACTCGCGGTCTCGGGCGCTGTATTCCCTTTCAGACCGGCTGTCGGGCTCCCTCTCACGATCTCTGCTAACGTCACGACGACGGCTCCTGTCCTTATCTTTGGCGCGCGTCGAAGAGTTACTTCTAGATCGGGGCTGCTCCACGTTGGACTCTTGTTGTTGCTGGTCAGGGCCATCTACTGGCGACTCTTGGGCCTGTTCATCGGCGACGACGTATCCTCGAGCCCGCAGGGTATGCAGGCTAGTGTTCGGTAGGCCTTGACGCATGGCCTTGGGTCCCGTGGGAGCATTCAAAGGAACATCGGGCTGTGCAAATCCCTGGTTCTGGTTTGAGAATCCTGGCGGCCCATAACCTCCGTTCATGTTGTTACCACTGTAGGCAGAATAGTCACCATCCTGTGCCATGTTTGCGTTGTCTGCGTCTTGCGCGGATGCATCAATAGGACCAGACTCGTTCCCGCCCTCGTTCACGGGTTTAGAGCCGTCTCCGCCATCTGCATTGTCTCCTCCCGCGTTTGATTTCTCGTCCTGGTCAGGGTTTCGTTCGCGGCCAAACTCATCCATATTGCTGTCGGTGCGGCTCGCGTCACCGGCGCCCTGGCTGTAGTTGGAACCGTACTGCTGTTGCATCTGACCGTGGTCCCCGTAGCCGCCATACTGTTGGTATCCGCCTCGACCGTAGCCTCCGCCGTAGTAGCCGCGTCCCCTTCCACGTCCACGGTTGCCGTAGTTGTTGCGGCGGTAATCATTGAATTGGTGACCGAAATTACCTTGATTGTACCCTGACTGGAATCCTGAGTTATAGTTGCCAAAGTCACCAGATCCCATGCCAGCAGCATTAGCAGAATTGAAATTATCTTGGCCGAAATTCCATGATTGTTGCCCGTTCCAGTTATTGGAGCCTGAGCCGAAACCACCGCCGAAGCCTCCCATGCCCATGCCTTGAGGACCATAGCCGCCGTTCATGTACATGTTCTGCATCGCCATTGGGTCCATACCCATACCTGGCATACCTGGCGACGTGTTAGCAGCTGCGGTCGGCAGGCATCATGTGAGGTGAAACGTACCCATCATAGGAAAGTTGCCAAAAGAATTGGCGCCCATGCCGTTCTGCATGGCCATCATCATCTGCATCTGGCTAAAGTCGCCAGATCCATTGAAGCTCATGTTCGGGAAGCTTCCGCCGTTCATCGAGTTAAAGCTCATGTTCGGGTTCGTGCTCGCGTCGTCGCCTTGGTCGTTACCGTTCTCCGCGGTGTCATCGTCCTGTTGAGACCCTCGCCTGGGTGCGGTCGCCGCGTCTTCGTCGCCAGTGATGATGACGGTCTCGTTATCATCGTCATCTCCCTTAGAGAGGCCGGGCTCCTCGTCGTGGTCCTGCGCGTCCTGGTGAAGGTGTAAGCGGAGCTCAGCATCCCGTGTTAGGCGGAAAGCACAAACATCATTTGGGGCATCAGCCACATCGGCTTCGTTCTGAGCGGTCGCCTCCGCCGCCGAAGCTGGCGCGGCTTCCGCGTCCGTCTTGTCGTCGGCATGCGCCTTTTCAGCAGGTTGCGGAGACGCCTCTGCGTGCACAGCCGGAAAATCGTTCGGGGCAGGTAGCGACGCGCTCGGCTTCACATCGATGGGCGTCGGGGGCGCAGATTCCTTCTCCTTGGCTCGCGCCTCCTCCCGCTTCTTTTCTTGGGTTCGAAGAAAGACCTTGATCGTCGTTCGCAGAGACTTGTGAGGCGTACAGTCGTCGGCGGAGACTGGCGAGTGCTCGCAGACGGGGCATGATGCCGGTAGTGAAGACTGGCCTGATGGAGGGTTAAACCGACGTCGATGTTGTGATGGGGAAGAGCGTGGTACTGACATGTCTCGCAGATGGCCTGCTCGCAGCAAGGCAGGCGGAAGGCGTTCACAGCCAATTCGCTACATATGGCGCATCGCAGCTTGACGGGAATGTCTTCAGGCGCGAGAGAGCTGCCGAATCACTGCTGTCAGCATGCGGCACCATCGTCCTGCGCAGTCAACAAACGCACCTGATGAGCTCAGCCTGAGCGGGTGTAATTGACGAAGCCATAACGTCGTCGGTCGAGAGGTAAAATCAAGACGAGGGATACATGGGTAACGTGGAGGGGCCGAAAAAGTACAGTAGAATAATTGGCCGACTGCCGGGGTCTTGGCACCAGCAAGGTACTATTATGGAAAGAGAATTGACGGCTCAGCGTGTCGCGCGGGACACGGTCATGTCGACGAGCGTGTTGTTGGCGGACAGTTTTTTTCTCCCGTACCCTCTTGCGCAGAACCCGTCGTAATAAAAGATTCTGTGGTGACGAGGTGAGGTGGACGAAGGCGCGGGAAGACTAAGAAAAAAAGTGGGACGCGTGGGCGGTGACTGACCAACCAGGCATCTCCTTCACCACCCCGACCTGCCTGTTTTACAGTGCTTGCTTCAGACTTGGCTGATTTTGACAGGCCGCCGTCTGTATTCGTACGGCTACCCACTGTAAGTCGCACGTGTGGCCCTGTGCGCATGCCTCGGCCACCCTGCCACCCGGTTGGTTTTTTTACCAACCGCCGACCGACCACCGGCCACAGGCACCGGTCAGGACAGACCATGGTGCAATTACTCGCTCAACGACGTTGTCTCACAGCCGGCAGTAACATCAAATGAAGTGCGATCAAAGACAAAAGGCTATCAAACTTGTCTTTGAGTGTATGATACTTCCGTCTACCTAATGCACTGACGACTGCTATCAGTTCCAAGCTGACCTGCAAGATCCATCCCAATGTCCGTCTTCGTCCCGCTGCCGTTGCAAACACACAAAACCACCAATGTTACACACCGAACGGATAGCAAGCATGCGAAGGCTGGGAGCGGGAAGGATAGTGTGCACTATCTGGAGCAAAACGTAACCACCATTATCGTCCACGCGCCCAAAGTGGCTCTCCCCACGACGAGCTTTCCCAGTTTCTGCCGGATGGACGCTTCCCATAAAAAAAGAACATGAACCCTATAGCAGAAATGCAGCGCATAAAGACTAGAGACTCCGAAAAATAAACGTGAAAAATTCAGCAATTCCCTTCTTCGCCAAGGTCCTAGGTTTGTCGTCGTCATAATCAGCAAGCACATCCCTCCTTCGCCGCCGCATCCCTCGGTCCGGTGAGGTTGACCCGTTGCTCCTCTCCGCCCCGGCTCACGGCATGCGACGCACCGGCTCCTCTCGCGCTCTTCAGCGACGTCTCGGGGATGGCATTGGCGATCGCGGTAAAGACCTCGGTGACGTTGTGGCCGGTCTTGGCACTCGTCTCGAAGAAGAGCAGGCTCTCCTCCTCGGCGTACGTCTTGGCCTCCTCGGTGGACACCTTGCGGGCGTCGCCGGAGCCGTCCTCCCCGTCGGCATCCTCGCCGGCGTCGCCACCGGCAGACCCGGCGCTCTCTCCTGCGCCGTTGGTGAGATCGAGCTTGTTGCCGACGAGGGCGATAACGATGCCGGGCGACGCTTGTCTCTGCAGCTCGGCGACCCAGTGCTTGGCCTTGATGAGTGAGGTGGGCTTCGTGAGGTCGTAGACGACGAGGGCGGCTTGGGCGTTGCGGTAATACATGGGCGCCAGCGAGGCGAAGCGCTCCTGGCCGGCGGTATCCCAGATCTCGAACTTGATCGTCCGGGTCGGCAGGTTGCACTTTTGTGTCAAGAAGGCGGCTGCAGACCAAGTGGTTGAGGGTTAGCCATAGAGGTTCATGTCTCGCGACGAGGGCCCGAACGACAGGGCGGCGGGCGGCGACTTTTCTCTACGTACCTCCGATGGTGGGCTCCTTGTTCTCTTGAAAGTCGTTGTTGACGAAGCGCAAGACGAGGGATGACTGCGAAGATTGATTCCTTAGTATGTCTCATCGTGGTGTCTGCCGTAGGCGTGGTGGGCGTACCTTTCCAACAGCAGCTTCACCGAGCAGGACCAGCTTGACGCTGCTGCTCGGCTTCGGGGCACCGCCGGATCCGTCCATCTTTTTTATCGGTTATTGCAAGTCGACAAATGTATGCCCTTGATTCGGAGGGTCTCTTTGATTGCGGGGGATGCGGGATTCAGGGATCGGTTCGGATGGAATCAGACAGCGGATTTTTGGGATGGGTTTGCTGCCTTTTGCGCGATGGGTTGATAGGTGGTAGGTAAATGGGTTGGTGGTAGAGGTGATACGTAGGACCACAGCTCGGCCACTGAAACGACGAGGGTGGTGAGGCGCAACAATGACGAAGCACCGCCCCCCAAGGGCCAAAGGGGCCCCAGCCAGCGGAAGGCAGCGACCAAGGTTGGCCAATGCTCTTGCTCGGAGCTCCAATCCTTAGAGGGGCAGCGGAGAATCAATCCGCCGCGCTTCCGCTGCGGACCCCGATGGACTGATGGAGGCCGGACCCCGCCAAAAATTCCATCCCAGGCACGTACCTTCGTACCCAGTGCTGCCGAACAGGGTCGCAGTGCAGCTCCAGGCGTCGCTGGGCGGCAGAAAAAAAAAAGTTGCTTGACCACCTTCCGGGACGTTGATTCTGAGGACCTTCCAAAGGCTTTTTGCATGTTCCCTTGAAGTTCCCACCACAACGCCCGCCCATTGGGATTCTGCAACGACGCGGCCGAGCCTCAGCAGGGAGACTACCGACAACATGGCGCCTGCACCGACAAAAGAGTCGGTGCCCAAGAAGGTCAACCTATTGGACGACAGCGACTCAGACGACGAAGATGGAGGGGCAGACATCGCGGCGCCGCAGTTGAAGGTCAACGAGGAGTACGCGAAGCGGTTCGAGCACAACAAGAAGCGCGAGGAGTTGCACAGGCGTAAGTTCATCTTGAATTGAATTGGTATCTGACGCATCTCTAACCATGGCCAGTGGAGGAAAAGTACAAAAAGACGGGCAAGCGGGATGACGACAACGACGACGACGAAGACGACGACTCTTCATCCTCGGACGAGACCGAAGACGAGGAAGGCTTCCTGGCCACCGAAGATCTCGACGCCCAAATCTCCGCCACCCTCTCCGCCATCAAGAACAAGGACCCCCGCTTCAAGGACAAGAACTTCACCTTCTTCAAGGACACCCCCAACGCCGAGCCCACGCCCTCCAAGAAGAAGGAGAAGCCACTCTTCCTCAAGGACTACCACCGTGAAAAGATCTTGGCTGGCGGCGTCGGCGAGTCCGACGACGAGGACGACGCGCCGCCTCCCCAGACCTATGCGCAGGAGCAGGACGCCCTCAAGAAGTCCATCATCTCCGAGATCAACAAGGCGGCCGAGGAGTCGGACGAGGAGGAGGAGGGCGGGGACTTTGTCACGCGGAAGCCTGACCAAGTCGTCGAGCTGCCCGAAGCCACCGAAGACGGCGTCCACCCCTCCCGCGCCCGCAAGGTGTCTAAGAAGCAGAAGAAGGCCATCACGGAGGACGACATTGCCAACGCCGACAAGGACCCGGAGCTCTTCCTCTCCAACTTCATGGCTGCGCGCGCGTGGACCGAGGGCGGCGAGCACAACTGGAAGGCGTTCGAGTCGGACGATGGCGAGGGCGACGACGGCGAGCTGGCCGACAAGTTCGAGGAGGCGTACAACCTCCGCTTCGAGGACCCGGAAAAGTCAAACCAGGCCCTGAAGACGTACTCGCGTGAGATCACCAACGCGCGCACCGTGCGCAAGGAGGCCGCGAGCTCGCGCAAGCGGGCGCGTGAGCTGGAGAAGGAGCGCAAGGAGGCGGAGAAGGCGGAGCGCAAGGCGGAGAAGGCGCGTCTGCGCAAGCTCAAGCTCGAGGAGGCCGAGGAGAAGCTCAAGAAGATCAAGCAGGCGGCGGGCCTGAGCGGCAAGCAACTCAGCGAGGACGAGTGGCTGCGTTTCCTCAACGACGCGTGGGAGGACGACAAGTGGGAGGACGAGATGAAGCGCCAGTTCGGCGAGGAGTACTACGCCCAAATCGAGGGCGGCGCGAGCTCGGGAGACGACGACGAGGAGGAGGACGGAGAGAAGAAGAGCAAGAAGAAGAGGCCAAAGAAGCCCACGTGGGACGACGACATTGACATCAAGGACATTGTGCCCGATTTCAAGGACGACACGGAGCACCCGCAAATCACACTCACAGATGACGAGCCGGAGGCAGAGGGCGATGAGGGGGAGGAGGAGGAGGAAGACGAGGACGGCCGTCCGTCAAAGAAGCGCAAGACCTCCAAGGACATCAAGAAGGAGCGTCTGGCCTCCAAGAAGGCGGCCAAGGCGGAGCGCGCCAAGCTCGAGGCCCTCGTCGACGCCAAGATGGACCTCGACATCCCCGAGGCGTCATCATCGTCGTCCTCCAAGACGCCAGAGATGTTCGGCTTCCGCTACCGCGAGACGTCCCCGACCTCCTTCGGCATGACGGCGCGCGACATCCTCCTCGCGCCCTCCGACGCCGCGCTGAACCAGTTCGCCGGCCTGAAGAAGCTCGCCCCCTACCGCGACGACGACAAGAAGCGCAAGGACAAGAAGAAGTTTGGCAAGAAGGCGCGCCTCAGGCAGTGGCGCCGCGAGCACTTTGGCAACGAGTACGAGCGCACGGGGCCCACGTTCGACTTTGAGGGCGCGACGTTCAAGGATAGCAAGAAGAAGAGGAAGAGCGACAAGAAAGCCTCCGACGAGACGACGACGACGCAGGAGAACGTCGAGGACGGAGGCGCCAGCCTGAGCAAGAAGCGCAAGAGATCCAGGGGAAAGAAGAAGGCCGAGGAGACGGGTGCAGCTGCGGAGTAGTGTAAAACCCGCGTGTTCTGACGGAACTGTCAACAGTTCTTATTTGTCTATTGCGTAAATAACTCTTTTGGGGAACGGGGTTAGAAAAGTAGTCACATTGTTTTTTAGACACAACGATACCACGTAAAGGTTCTCTCTCTCCATTTAATCACGAACATCTGGACGGTAACGTGGTGGTCTTCATGCCGCATTACTGTGGGTTGGTATCTCACACACAAGTATATCGGAATCGCTACGCTACCCAAGTAGATATTTTTTGACCCGCCCAATGAAGTCCCCGGTCCTGCTCCGTCCCGTCTTTTCCGTCATATAGTCATAAGCAAGGGAAACATGGAAAGTCCAAGACATATACAGATAATACAGAGCCCAAAGGCACACCCGGCGCCCTAGATCTTTCCTTGCGGAAGCCGTCGTATCACGGTATTAAACAAGACAATATGATTGAATGTGCGCTCCCCAGCTCATCTCGCGCCGTGGTGCAGGCCGTTGCTGAACATGTTGCCGAAGCCATCGAGGTTCATGCCCATGTCCTGCCCAATCTCGGGTGGCTCCATATTGAACGGCATGAACCAAGCGGACGACGCCTCTTGGCCGACAAAGCCCATGCCGTCTGTCTGGTGGCCGTGTCCGCCCATACCATTGGCGTTTCGTTGCGGACGTGGGCGGGAACCCTCCCGGTGTGTCCCGGAAGTGCTGTGGGCACTGGATGGCATGCCATCCCAGTCGAGGCCGTCAAAGTGGCCCATGTTGCCCGGTTCCATCGAATACGCACCAAACACGAGCTGTCGATCAAGGGGCTGTAGTATCCCGTTCTGCTGGTTCAGAGACATGCTGAGCAGATCAGGCGGGTAGAACGGCGCGGGTCCTTGGTGATGATGCCCGAACTGACTGACAGCAATGGGGCTGATCGGGGACAAGGCGTGGTAGTTTGAGCCCTGGGAATGTGGCACGGTGAGGGGATTGAAGCTGGAAGGGCCGCTAGTCTGCCCGCCAAGAGCGCCGGACATGCCCCGCTGCTGTTGCATGCGAGCACTCAGTTGCTCCTGAGCTGATGCAGCAATGTTTTCAGTGGACAGTGGTTCCAATTGACTTCCATCTGAGCGCATGCCCGACGTGCCCAGCTTCTTCCCGGCGAACGACTTGCGCTTTAGAGGGTTGGGTCTCGATGTGTTGCCTTCGGTGCTGCGCGGTGGGGACAAGGTTGTGAAGAACTCCTCGACAGTGTGGAGCTCCGGCTTCTGTTCCAACACTGCATCGTCGCCCTTCTCCTTCTTCTTGGCCGTCGCTGGGTCTGAAAAGTCGGACTGGGAGACGCCGTGGGGGTAACGATCGAACCAGTCGCCATACTGGAAGATGGGCGACGCCGTCGAACTCTCCTTGGTCTGAGATCCTCCTCTGGCAGCGTCTGCACAGGTCCGGTACTGCTCGCGCAGGTTCTCCGACATGTAGTGGAACATGCCCCAGTACCTCTTCATCTTGGACAGGAACTTGACGTTGGTTGCCAAGTTCCGCTTGGACGCCGCCTCCACGGCAGGATTGCCCGAGAAGATACCCAGGATGTGGACGGTACCCGACGAGAAGGCACAGTAACCAACAAATGGCGCGGTGACCATATACGACTCGGCATCTTTGAGGACTTCTGAAATACGATTCGCAGCGGCAAATGTGTTGTCTCCGGCCTTTGTGACGAATTCTCGAGGAACGTCTTGAGCAACCGGGCTGTTTGGCGACGCGACGGCTACCCTGTTAAGAAACAGGATGTTCTGCTGCATGGCGATGTGAAGGAACAAGTACTGGTTCGCCATCCTTTCTGTGTCGTGCAGCTGCAGGTTCTCGGGAGAGTACTTCAGGAAGTCGGGGATGTTATTCAGCTGCTCCTCCGCCTCCCGCATCAGGGTCGCGTACTGAGACTCGGGGCTCCAAATCGGATGAGGGTCGAGTTCCTTGCCTCCCTGGTTCAGGTACGTGATGATTTTACCCCAGATGGCGATCGTCTTGATCATGTGGGCAGCGACGCCCATGTTCTCCTTCACGTCGGCGAGCTGTCCGTCTTCTGCGGATACCGGGTGAGGAACCTTGCCTCGCAGAGTCTCGGTCGGGGCTGGCATGTCGAGCTGAAAGTACTTTTCCTTGATCGGCAACGGGATCTCAATCGTCTCCTCCCTTACGAAAGTCGGCCGTTCTGTTCCAGACGAGTTGAAACGATCCATAAGGAAGCAGGCCCACATTGTTCTCCGTCGAATCTCCCGGTCGATAAAGCTTAGTTGCGACGCCCCATTTCGGTTCAAGGGGTCGTGATCAAGATCCCTGTGGAGTTGCAAGGCGAAAGCCATGCGGATCGCTTGCCCGCCGAGGGCCCAGCTCCTACCGCCGTGGCAGGTACCAAACTCGTGCAGGCCTAGAATCAAAAGGCATGTCAATATCGTGATGTTGGGCCACTCATACCGCCTGGTGCAGATGTCTCTTGCGTGCGAAGCCCATTCTTCGCCACGCAGGAAGTTTGGCGACGAGCTGTTGAGTTTCGGGTGGCTGGAGAAACGGGCTGCAATGGCGCAGACAGATAGGACAAGAACGGGTGGCAACGTGCCGGCTCTGCAGAACAGTTTAGCAAACCTCAGCTTCTCAATGATCACGATGGGCGTACCTGAGCTTCCTCATGTAGCTTGGCTTGTGGAGGAGATGGTACGCTTGGCCGTAGATGTTCTCGAAAAAGATCTCGGCTAAGTGTTCTTGGAGCTCCTTGGGCGGGAGCGCGTCGAGACCTTCGAGGAATAGCTTGTTCTCTTCTGCTTCTTGGGCCTGGAGGGTGTTGGATTTGTTTGGCGGTTCGATTCTTGTCTTGGCTGGAGCTTTTGCCCAGTGGTCAAGGTCCTGGCCAAAGGCTTCGTCTGCGGGTCGCTTCTTTGCGTTGGCTTTTGAAGCGGAGAGTGAGCCTGGGATCGCCGGCTTGACGACAGCCCGGGTCAGAGAGGCGGCGCTCGCGTCTTGCTCGCTCTTGGGTACGATCTTGATGATGCGCTCCTCCATGCGCTTCAGTCGCTTGTCCAGCATGGCCATATAGTCGGTACGGGGGGCAGCTTTTCTCGTCGTGACTTTGTAAACACAGGGGATGCGCGATCGCAGGCAGTGCTTGCACGCAGGCTTCTCTCCCGAACATCGAATCTTCTTGCGGCGGCAGGCAATGCACGCCAATGGGAGCCGTTTCCTCTCCTTGCCGGCCTTCGTCTTCAGCTCACTCCAGGCGGGCGTCTGGTCGGATTTGTCGTCCTTGGATTTTGACAAGTCAGATGCATTGCCGGCCTGGGTGGGCAAGCCGAATTCGTCGGCGCCGTTGTCCTCGAGAGGATTGGGTTCGGCCTGGTCGTCCTGGCTGCCGTCTTCCGAGGTGATGACGCTGTGCCGGCGCTGGTCGACGGCCCTGCCGTAGGGGACGGACATGACGGTGATGGAGTTTTGACGACCGCCGCCGCTTACAGAAGAGACGGAATGGCGGTGCGAGGTTGAGAACATGTCGGTAGCGTGGTCCGCGTCGCCGAGAAACATGATTGCATTCTGGTCCTGGAGGTCGTGGGGCGGGAAGGAAAAGTCCTCGGCAAAATGGGAGGCATCGACCAAGCTTTGAGAAGCGCTGTTGGACCGCATTCCGTCATTTGGGGTTCCTGAGGAAAAGGGTTGGTGGGAAGCCGAGGAAGTTGTTATATGGGAATGGTGCGAATGGGCGCCGGGAGAGTCTGGACCGTGCTGCGAGTATTCGAGACTGACAGCTCTGAGTTGGTGACTTTGGAGCTGCTGCAGACTAGATGACATTGTCCTTTGTCATCTGGGGGGAACAAGGAAAGATCAACGAGGAGGCGACGGTGGAAGAAGGCGGTTCCGAGCGAGCTGGGTCTTGCTCTAGCACCTGCAGCTGCACCTCTGCTGGCAATCCTACTCGGGGCACTGGCTCTTGCTCTGGCTCTGGTTCTAACTCCCCGCACGCGCCTGCGCAGAGAACGGCGTTCGTCCCTGTCCCTGTTTATGCCTTCAGACCACGGGTGTAAGTGTGAGTTGTGGGGGTCACAGCGGTCGCAAGATGGACCATGGTACGGCGGGAAAAGACTCGTCTTGGCCCGGGGCAATCCGAGTCGCGTGCCGGTGTCTGCGGCTGTGGTGTTGTTGAGTCGGGGAATTGAGAGGTTGTTGGTTGGCTGATTTGAATTGGGACAAAAAAAAAAAAGGAACTGGAATTGTGTGAAAGAGCTGGAACAAAGCTCTTACTCTCTCTCACACACACACACACACACACACACACACACACACGCAGTCTCTATTTCTCTCACTCTCTTGTGTCTGGGGGCGGGGAAGAGACGGAGAGGAGAAAGACGCAGTGTTGAGAATTGTCGGGGAGAAGAAATTCTGACTCGGCGTCCTCGAGCAGCGAGAAGGACGAAAAAAGAGGAGCGAGAGAGAGAGACTAAGACTCTCAGAGACAGGACCCAGGTCAAAAGTAAAGCAAAGCAAAGCAAAGTAGAGAAAACCAGAGCAGCGGAGCAGATTTGCGATTTTGGGAGGAGATGGGGAACGTCGCCGGCTTGGAGTAAAAACTGGGGTTGGGGAGAAGACACCGCACTGGCTGGTCAGTGTCGACGGCCGGGGAGGGGGAGGGGGGTCCACACCACACACCTCACACCTCACACCTCACACCTCGCAGTGCTGGCAGCCCTGGTGTTGTGTTTTGCTGGTGCTGGCTGCTGGCTGCTGCTAATGCTGGTACTGGTGCTAGGTAGGTGAGGTACCTAGGCACCTGGCGTTCGTGCTGTGAGTGAGGAGTCGCGGGAGGATGAGGACGAGGAGCGTGGGGAGCGTGAGGAGTGTGAGGGGGGCGTGTGGTAATATGATGCCTCTGATTGCGTGGATTCCTGGCCTGGCCCTCTGAGTGGACGAAAAAGAAGTGGGCGCTGCACCTCTTTTGCTCCAAGAGCGCGGGTGTGTGCCAGGTGCAGGCTTGCAGCGTGAGCGTGCAGGCCCAAGGTGCAGTTGCAGGTGAGCGAGAGACAGCCCAGAGCACCAAGAGGGCTCCAGAAGCCCGGGCAGGGCCAAAAGGCGTTTTCGGCGGTCCAATTGTGGGGTACTGCTGCTGGCTGCTGGAACGTCAGGTCGCCAAAGGGGGAGGGAGGCACGGAGTACCTGGGTACTTGGTACGGATACGGCAGGCAACGCAGCTCAGCACCTCCTCAGCACTGGCAATGTGAGTGAGGCTGGCGCTGGAACTGGCGCTGAAGGCAAAAACCTGGCGTCGTCTTGTCTTTGCTGCGTTTATGGCTGTGCCTCGCCCGTCTTAGTGGGCCTTGTTTCTCCAGAAAAGGTCTCGAAGTCGTCCTCCCCGCGAGCTCTTTCGGACGGAGACGGAAACTGGGGAAGAACCTTATATATCCCGCTTGGCTGCAGAAGAACAGCAACAGGAATCCCCAACAACACCACCACCGCCTGACAGGTGGTTTCACCGCGGGGTAAAGATGCTGCGCTCGTGGCTCTCGTGCTTGTGGTGTAGCGGCTTGTTGGCTTGTTGGCTGGCTGCGCGGCTCTGTAGCTCAAAGTGATGGGGACCCGACACTGAGTGGGTGGTGGAGGGTTCTCTCCCACCGGCAATATAAGCACCGCAAAATGAAGGACCCCAGGTGTAGGTGGTAGGCTGAAAGGCAGGTGTCGACGACGTGGACGTGTGTGCTGTGCTGTGTTGTACGCAGTCGGAACTGCTAGCGCTGGTGGTAGATTTGGCGCGGCGCGAGACCCTCTTAGGCCCCTTCCCTTTCAGGCCGAGACTCTATGCTGGTTTGGGAAGACTTGAAGAGGGAGCTAGTGGTAGTGAACAACAATGGCCTAGAATTGTGACGTCCGGGACGACACTTGCAGCTGATGCATCGAAGATCTGCCAAGCTTTCTCCTCGAGGCGCAGAAGCACGAGAGAGGGGCGTGGGGTTTTATAAGAATAGACAAGATGGATGGGGATGATCGGGACGGAAAGGGGGGCATCAATCGTAATGCCCAACCATGGCGACGACGACGACGACAACAACCTCCTCCTGTACCTTTAAGGGGGACTTGTGCATCTCTTCAAGTGCAACCCCTAAGCCGCAACGAACGACATGTCGCCTGGTCCCTGCCGTTCACGTTGCGTACATCTATTAAGATAAGCCCGGGCAGAGTACCGCCCATCCCACAGGCTGGAGGTGGCCCGCCAAGGCAATCCAGGACCGACCAAGTAATGAAATAAAAAAGCGCTTCATTGGCATGCTGAGTATCTGATGTGAAGTAAGTAACAAGGTGAGAAAAAGAAAGGCACAACCCAGCTGCTCCTCGCACAGACGCCCAAGTACATCTACAGAGTTAGGTAGAGGAAATGATGAGGCCTCTCCCCCTACAGACGTCGATCTGGGCGTGACATTTAGATGCCCGAGAACAGGGGTCTGCAGCTCATGCGTGTGCGTATTCCACTTTGCAACCAACGCATGTTCTTCTGGCTGGAAGTAACCGGAACATCAACAGCAATTGAAATGACCTGCACAGGTTCTTGAAAGTGCATCAGTACACACGAGAATCGAACATGCGTTGGAAATGTGCACCTCTTGATAGGGTCTGCATGGTCGTTCCTGAAAGTTTACGACGCAGACCATGTTGCATCCTCCTTCTCGCAAACGTCAACCCGCCTTGAATCTGGAGGTCGATGCAGATGAGATGTTCTCCAGGCGTCCCGGCCCAAGACCCACGATGCGATGGCAGTGCGAACAGATGTGGGGACGCGAAAGTGGGTATGGTAGGGAACAGGGGGCTCTGGTCGACGCGCCAAATCAGGGATGGATCGGGGGGGAGGAAGTGGGAGGGCCGGAAGCCTGGTGGATCCTCCAGCCAGACACTGGAGGTGACTTCCGAGACTGTCCCGGTGCGGGTGGGTATATGTGCCGCCGCGTGCAGATGAGGTGCCATGCGGTCAGCGGAAACGATGGGATATTCCTGACGAGCTGGTGATAATCCTGCAAAACTTCACGTATACCTCCAACCATGGAATTGGCTTCCAAGAGAGCCCGGCCGTGCGGTTGAGTGCGGTACGGCGTGGTGCGGATAATCTGTGTGTGAGGTGCAGATATCATACAAAGGATGAAGCTGGGGAGAGCCAGTATTCAGACTCGGACCGCTGTGAATGTCCAAACAGACGGGATGGAGAAATCATTGTCGTTGCATTCTCATCTTTGCCGTCGCTATTCAGAGACCTCGCGAAGCATGGTGCCGCCGCGATTGTTTTGAGTCTCTCTTGCAGTCCGGTATGGCAGATATTCATTCGCGCAACGAAGCGGAAACAGCTTCGCCGTGCTATTATCGTCCATCACGACGGGAACCAACTTGATCAAGCCTCACAGGTGACCTGTCGGCCATGTGCATCCACGGGGATGGCGCTGGCCATGCGGGATCCAACAAGCTGGTTGGCTGGAGCTCAGTGCATGACCCCTGGCTTCTTTACCGCTCAAGTTTGGGGCCTCAAAACGCGATGCCAGTAAGTGACTGCACAGCGACATTTCTGAACGACGTGCCATTGAACCCGCCATGCCACCGGGCGGCGGCAACTTCCACTGAGACGGTCGCAACGGGGTGGCAGCGGCCAAGGGACCCCGGGGCATGGCCAGGAGGGCATGCTGCAGGTTTGCATCGGTTTGGGCATGATCCGTGTTTGCCCGGGCTGGCCCAGACCACCTTGCTGTCCGGATGCCGTCGTTACTGCAGACTGGTTGTTCGGTGTGGTGGGTTCTCGAGCACATCGACGCCGACCGGATCTGTACGGGATGGCGCCCCGACTGTGACCCATGCAGAACGTGTCCGATGTATAGACTAAAACTTTTGAAGACGGGCAAGCTTTGAGTAGAGGCAGACGAAGTTTGTCGAAGTTGATGCTAGCTCAGGTTTCAGCGGCGCCAATGAGACGGGGTGTATATGTAGGCTTGGCGCTTTGTTTGACCGAAGTTGGACTGTGGGAGCCAAGGCAAAATGGCATATTGCAATCTAGAAGCGTATCCGTGCCTTGGCTGCTGGTCGTTTTTTCGTCGATAAACCTGGTGCACTGCGCGCAATGTTGGGTTGGATTGCTTTGCCCCAGGTGGGAACGCAGGGCGATCTTTCGGAGTGTAGAGAGGTGAGGCTAGCTCGCTGTGGTGGACGTCATTGGGTTCGGCCAGGGATCAGGTTGCTTGCCGCAGTTTTGGCTTGGTCCTTATTGACGATTCAGTAGCGGTGTCTTGGACCAGTGAAGAACGAATAGAGTGGACGTCGGTGCCGCGGCGGCCGGGGAACGAGGGTGCCGGTTCCATGACGAGTGGCGGACCGTCTCGAGCGGTCGAAGTTCGGGGTTGACGAGCTGTAGGTAGGAGAATTAAGAAGGAGGGGATGGCAGATCGCGATATGTCTGAGCGATGATAGGACGAGCGTGATGTGGAGGGTGACTGCGCGAGGGCGGCGATGTGCAGTGTGGAGGAGGCGGGTTTCCAGGACCAGCGTCGGTGTTAAGGTTTGGCGGTTTGGAGATTATGAGTGATTATGTAAAGACGCCATGTGGGGCGCGTTGAAGGTTGTGGGTCCTGGATTGGAGCTCACGGTGCACTCGGCGCTGCTGCAAA